CTGCGAAGGCAGGTTTTTGCAGCTGATTTCGCGGAGAACAAAGGGGCGGAGCATGGCCTGGGGAGTGGTCTGCCATGGATTTGATATCGGAAAGCTGCAAGAGATATTGGGTATTGGGTAGCCATAGCATTGGGTATAAGTGGGTCAAAAGTGATTTGCCATCTCAAGGGTTAGGGCAGCAAAGATTTTGATTGTGCTGTAAATTCAGCCATTCGCCTTTTATGCTTTGTACAATTACAGCAAATAAGGGGCTGTCATGGCCACACAGAATGATTGTCCTGATTTCGCAACTACCACAGTCTGACAGTTGGAGGTTTTGAATCGATAGACCTGAGCCAATCTGGATTCATCTAGGTCCCGGTATGATTGATAGTTGGTTGATACCTCAGATTGGTATCTATAGTAATTGGATTCAATCTGGATTCATCTAGGTATCTACCGGTTGACAATTCAGTTGATTGATAGTTTCAAAGACGTCAGGATGGTTTCGCTGGAAATTTCATCCTGGGATGAAGCCCGCCCCAAGCCCAGTCGTGACGCCGAAGGATCCATCCTTCACGCCTTCGATTGAGAACATTGTGGGGAGCCCTTGGGTATGGAGGGATTGAAAAGCCATTGGAATTAGGAAGATTCCGATGATTCCGTCCTGTTTCAACCAGCTTTTCGCAGCAGAGAAACGAAGTTTTTCATAACTGTCATAACTTTTCTGCCAGCACCCGCTGGCGAAGGATTTTTTCATCAGGCGCAGCAAGAAATTTGTTTCAAGGGTCAAGCTATCCGATAGCTGTGGTGAGATGGTGGGAAATCTCCACATTTAGCTGGTCACCCCTCAGCAATGCTGCGTGGACCATTTCAATTCACCAGGATTACTGATAAAATGATGGATGGCTTTTATCTTTTGGTGGGTTACCACATACTAACCATACTATAATGTATATATAATAGTCCAATTATATATATATATTAATAGGATTATATTATATAAAATAGGTAGTATTATATATAATCATTATTATGGATGGCTTTCTATTACTAATAATTCCTTATAAAAAAACTTGTCAAGTTCATCTTAACCATATTTTATTACCAATACATTTTTTTTTAAACCGCGCTAAGATTAACTATTAATACCATGATTATTCAATATTATTAATATTAACCATATCCATGATCATTAACCATTAATGTCTTACTTATAATAGATCTTAACCATTACTTATATCAATGGATTGGTTTAGGGGAAATTTTACAGGAAAACCCCATATTTAATGGTAAAGACCCTGGTTTCCTGTAAATTTTCCCTTAAACCAATCCATTGATTATAAAATCATCTATGTTTTTTGAACCGCGCTTAAAGTCAAGTCGTCAAGTCAGCTGAGATCACCCAGAGCGGGCCCAGCGAGTTGGGCAAAGAGGTGGCGCGCCTGTCCAGAGCCACTGGGCCACGAAACATGGGAGCTGCCGAAACGGCTCGGATGGGGTGGAATTTCACCATGGAAATTCATGATTTTTTTCTGGGATTTTCTGGGATTTAATGGGATTTTCTGGGACTTCACCAACCATAATATAATATAATATAATATCATATCATATCGTATCATATAGATGTGGCTATAAGTCAAAACCCTGGGACATCCTGGGACCCTGATGGTACTCGTACCCTAAGGCAAAGCTGCTAAATGGATGGTTATTCCCCCAACTATTGTAATTTCATAGGTTTTGACCCACCACTATTTCTTTCAAATGATGGGGATACCCTCTGGTAAACTAACAGTTTGCTATGGAAAAGCACCACTCTTAATAGGCAATCAACGAAATAAAAGGCCTTGTTCAATAGCTATGTTAAATTTCCAGAGGGTATGGAGGATTCTTTAAATGAGGGAATCCCCACGTCACCCTGGGTTTCAATACGAAATGGTCATCCATGGCTTGGGGGTACCCCCATGACTTAGGAAACCTCCAGATGGGCAAGAAACAAATGGTAAACATGGGATAAGATTGGGGATAGTGTATATAAAGGTGATGTAACATGATATTTATGCCATCAGCGCAATTGATAAATATTGAACACCTGGAGGAAAAAAGTATTTTGACCATCCAAGCTGCGTATGAAAAACTTGCACGAACGGGAGAGTTGACCGGCCTGACCACTGCAGAAGCTATCGTCTGCTGCATTTGAAGACTTGATGGATATACCCGTGTATTTCTTGAATGGGGTGAAAGGTCAACTGCATTGGTAATTGGTCTATGTACCATGTTTATACATACATATACATATAATGAAATGATATTATATATATATGCATATATATATATATATACGTATATGATTTGTGCATAAGCATAACACACATATATTATATATCACATAGTAATATATCAAATGTCCCTGCGCCTCATGTGAGAATTTCTTGGGGTAGCTAGCCCTGGTTTTATATGTATCAGAGACTGGAAGATAGAGTAAGGTTGGCCAGTTCATCCCTTGAAACTCAAAATCGCAGCTCCACGATATTCTACGACCCACAACGGCCCTGTTTCCAGCACCCACCCGCTGAGTCTTTGGGTATGTTGAAGGATGATGTCAACAGAAGCTTGGAATCAAGGGAAGCGCACCGGGAATTTTGGGTGAGTTTGATGTTCTATTTGCCAAATGGGACATGGTAAATCCAGCAGATTTAGATCTACTGTAGATGAATTTTTAGGAAATCTGCAGGGAATCTTTTTGGGGCTCCTGAAAAAATAAATCCAAGTAGTGCCTGCCATGGCCATCGAACGGGTTCGGACCATCTGAACACCTTCGATTTTCCAACCTCTGGGTGGTGCATCCCATGAAGTTTGGGGTGGGCGGGCCACCAGCCACCGAAATCGAAATCTGTCGTGAAGGCTGGGTCAAACAAGTCAATGTGTTATACGATGTGATCTGTATGACAGAAATGATTGTGTGATATTGTGTGTTAGTGTGACCACACTTGAAAATACTTGAAATATGTTTGTCGTATTGTCCCTGAGAAACAGAAACTTGGGGTTTGATACTCAAAAGCGGAAGATTTACGACGAGAAATGGTCACATCTCTGTGCCATGTTGCAACCACCTAGGCAACCTCTCACAAGACCGAATCGCCGCGATGACAGCGGAGGTGACGACTTCTTCGTTTTTTGAAACTTTGTGGCCTGAAAGCCTGCACCGAAGATGGGAATATTGAAGGTAGACTGCAATCGGATGGGACACCACAGCCAGGACGTTCCCAACATGGTAACTCCTGTTGCGGCTTCCCTGAAGGAGGCGCGGCGTGATTTCAAGCCCTTTTTCCAACCTCTCTTGATAAGATTCAGAGTTGCTAGGGCTAGGGGATTTGAAGCACCTTCACCAGGCCCGTGGTTTTTGCCGTTGGTTTTTTACTGGTAGGTCATCACATCGGCTGCGATCTCAGCCTGAAGAAATGGGGATTGAGCCGGATTGAGCCATCAATGGGATTGAAACAAACACGCAGATGGGGATTGATTATGCGAGCTGTGAAACAGTTAAGCACATAACCACCCCTTTTTTCAAAGATAGTACAGATGTCTCCAGCTGGCAGCTCCATGCCTTGAGGCCCCTGCTAGCAAGGATGACACGCACATGGATGACAAGCACCCGCCGAATGCAACTGGGCATTTGGCTCAAGACCTGAGGCCTGAAAAAAGGTACAAGCTGTTGCTTGGCGGCCGACTGTGTTTCCCTTGGGTTATGAGCCCAAACCCGTTGCCTTAGCGCCATGTTGGAACGTCGGCGCGCTTCGCAGCGACAGGCAGAAGCTTCTGCCGGTGAAACCGCAGAGGAAATGTTGGAGAGGTTGCAGGATGAGCTCAACGCTACTCCACCTCCAACTGCGGCACCGAAAGCAGTGGCTCATGGCTCAGAGTTTCTGAGCGTCAGTGGTGCCTCGACTAGCACCGTGGTGGGTGGCGCCCAAGCGGGTGCTTTGGTTGAAGGGCCGACGGCCTCCGGGGCTCTCCTCCCGTTGGAACCGTTGAAGCCACTGGGACCAGCGAGCTTTGCTGGGTTGGATCTCGGAGATGAAGCACCAGGTGTTCGACGAGTGGTTGTCCATGAAACTGGCGATGGTGAACAGCATGCACAGCGTGAAGACCCTCGAGAAGCTGCAGATCTACGACACCCTGTTGGTTCCCCGACTGCACTTGGCCCTACGGTTGCTCGGCGAGAAGATGGTCAGAGGACTGTAGATGGTAGTCATGTGGTTGGTGGTAACCCAAATGGGGATGGGATCACTAGTAGTGCCTCGAAAGGGGATCGGGTTGTGCTGATGGGATCTAGTCCAGGGGATAGGAAACTCTGTAGTCCAGCTAGTGTGGAAAGACCTCCGGGGTTGTTGCAGCATGGTGGGCCGGAATCCCAAATGGTGAAAAGACCAGATAGTTTGCCGGAAGCAAGCGCTTCTGCTGGTGTTCAGCTGAACCCGTTTTGGAGCCCTGAGGTGAAAGCAATGGAAAGGTTGAGAGGCGAAGGTTGGGGAATAGGACAATGGGTTGAACCAGATACCCCCCAAAAACAGCATGTAGAACTTGACCCCATTGAACTTTTCCGTATAAGGTGCTTGCGGGAAGCTGAAGAAAAATTTCGGCAAGGGCTGTTGATGATGAAGCAGGATCAGGGGTCCCAAGCTTCTTTTGCCTCGGCCGAAGAAATTCCAGAGACGGGCGGACCGAAACCGCCTCCAGGACCACCGCCAGCTTCACCGCAGAAGATGGATGGAGTGAGTAGTGGAAGTGGTGGTCGACCGCCACCGCCTCCGCCGCTCCCTGTTCCTCCTTTTCCAGTGGAGCCCGCTGGGGTAAGTCGGGGAGCCGGCTTTCTGGGAGAGAATCCGAATGAGACCTTGAGAACCTTTGAGCTACCTCGGCTCACAGTCGACACGACGGCCCTACAATTCGGGGACTGGATGAGTATGGTGGATTCCCAAATGGGAGATCTGTCGTATTCCTCCAACCTCTGGTGGGGTATGGTGAAGTCTGCGGCCGAATCATGCTATGGGGAGTGGTTGAGATCGGGTCCGCTGGAAAGGCTTAGGCTTAGACCAACCCTGGATGCCAATGCAAGTCTCTGGCCTCGAACTGAACGCAGAGCTGTGGCGATGTTGCTACAGGCCATTCCTAGTGCTATCCGAGATGACCTGGTGTCGTCAAGAAGGATGACTTCAGAACAGATCATCTTCAAATTGATGGTCGTTTACCAGCCTGGTGGGGCAGGTGAGCGCACCAAACTCCTTCAGGCCATCACTGGTGGTATGTTTGGAGAAACCATGACCGAAGTGTTGGAAGGTATCCGACACTGGAGAAGAAACGTGAACCGAGCCTCTGAACTGGGGGTGACTCTGCCTGATGCGTTGGTTTTGGTTGGAGCTCTGCAGCGGGCTTCGGACTTTTTGAGCCAGAAGTCACCACAGGTGGCATATCGTTTGAACATGATACGCCAACAACTCAATGTGGATCACCAACCCACAAAGGACACGGTCATGTCGTACTCAGAACACCTCCAAGCGGAGGCCGAAGAGATGAATGTGAATTCTCAAGGCCTGGGACTGGGCCAACCTACCTCAAAGAGTGGGGGCGGGAAGGTCAACGTTAAGTCGTTGAATGGACCAAGCCCGGGCGCTCCAGCAAACAAAGCTCAGCATGATGGTGCTGACCAAGGCGACAAGGCTGGGAAACCAGCTGGGGGGTCAGGCATCACAGCGGCTAATGCGGGATCAGTTACGTCGTCAATGGCGTGCAAATTTTGGGGCACTGAGAACGGCTGCCGCAAGGCGGACCAATGTCGGTATGTTCACTCGGTCTTGAATCCGAAGGACAACCGCTGTTTCAAGTGTTCCGCTGTGGGGCATTCTAAGAAGGATTGCCCGGTGGGGAAAAAGAAGATTGCCAAGACAAAGGTGGAAAAGGATCATGCCAGTAGTTCTGCATCCGCTGCCAAGGGCGGTGCGGAAACTGCAGTGAAGGCTGAGCCAAGTCGTCACACCACGTACCGTGAAGAAGGTACTCCGACCAAACCGTTGGAAGACAAGGAGGGTGTGGACGATATGGTGCAGGATTGCAAATCCGTTTTGAAGGTGATCGTGCCGGTCATGAAGACCATCTGTGCCAAGGGGGCCTTGTGTAAGGCTGCCAGCGAGATGATTGAGACCGGTCTCCTGGATGGTGGGGCTACCAACCCGTTGAGAAAGGGGTCCAAGGAAGAGATCGAAGCGGCAACATTGGTTGACGTGGAGCTGGCAACTGGATCTGTCCAGTTGTACCAGAACATGTCTACCGGAGTGCTGCTTTCGCCCACCGAAGTGGAACCGATTGTTCCGCTACGGGGTGTTGTGGCGTTGGGCTACAAAATCCGATGGGATTCGCGGGGGTGTGTCATCTCACATCCAGAGGTGGGTCGCATCTCTTGTTGGTTGAGAAATGGATGTCCGGTAGTGAGGAAGCAACATGCGCTTCAACTCATCAAAGAGATTGAGGACCAAGAAAGGTTCAAGAGATTGGGTCCGAAACTGGCCGCGGGGCAGCTTTCGGCGGAAGAGCGTCAATGGTGGAATCAAAGGTACCCGGATGTTCCGGATTCAGTTTTGGAATTCATGGTGGGGCAGAATGCTGGAATGCCAAAGGGAGAAACCCTACCGTGGAACCGCCGAGTGCGCAAGCGCCTGCGGAAGGCGAAGGGGGTTATAATCCACTTATTTGCCGGCTCGAGGCAATCTGCTCGAGAGTGGCAAAAGGGATGGCCTCCTGGAATCGAAATACTCACGGTCGATACGGCCGACAGTGATCAACAGAATCTTCACCGACCAGAGGTTTGGGCCTTTCTCGCACATGTGGTGCGAACTCACCCAATCGTGGCAATCATTGGCGGCCCTCCATGTCGGACAGTGAATGGCTTACGAGCCCTTCAGTCTGGACCGCGACCACTGAGAGATCGGTGTGAGCACAGGTTCGGACTCCCAGGGCTGAGTGACCAAGAACAACACAAGGTGGATGGAGACAGTGCTCTTCTGCTAAAACAGGTTGGGTTACACCGGCTGGCCGAGGAATCCAAAACGGATGACAATCCGAGGGTGGGATTCTTTTTGGAGTCGCCGGAAGACCCTGCCGTGTGGGCAAATGAAGCGAATTCTCCAACCTTTTGGGTATGGCCGGAAGTCACTCAACTCCTAGAACAACCTGACATGCGGTTGATATCGTTTGATCAGGGTCGGTACGGACATGAGAGGGTGAAACCAACCTCTTGCTTGTCCAATCTTCCGCTTTTGGAGGATCTGGATCAAGCGCGCTGTGAAAGACCGCATGGAAAGGTCTTGCATCCAGAAATTCCAGAGAGGGTCAAACAGACCGATGACTGGTCTGCATGGGCCCCAGGACTCAAACACGCCCTGAGGGTGTCTCTGAACCTGTTGATCCACCAATGTGGATTAGCGGACAACCAGTTGAAAAAGGCTTTGAGCCGTCAAGAATGGAGGACTCACATCCTTCAAGGCCATCGACCGTACAGGCGCGACTGTCGTGCTTGTGTGCTAGATATGGCGGCAGGACCACCCCATCGCCGGCGAATGTATTCTGGAACCTCGGCATGGTCACTTGGTGTAGATGTGGTTCTGTTTGGGAAAACAAAAGATTCCATTTCTGGGGATCAGGTCAAATATGCGGTGGTAGCCACCGCCTTAGTACCGGTATTCGATGAGGATCACCAACCTCCGCTCCAAGAGCCGCCCACGGAAGTGGTGGAAGCGCCAGATTGGGGGGAGGGTTTGGAGGAACCTGAGTTCCCATTGGAGGGAGAAGAAGAATCTGGGTCACCAGAGCTCGGCGACGAAGTTGCAAAGGCGTTCCCTGATCCAGCCAATGCTCCGGGGGCTGACCCTGAAAATGGGGGGGAGGCATCCCCTGAGAAGACAGGTGACTGGGTTGATGAGGAGATCAGCAAGTGCAGCCGACCTCTGAAACTCAAGCATGTGACCATGGTAGAACCGGTTCAGTCGCGATCTACCACCGTGGTGCTCAACGCGCTATCACAATTGGTGGTTCGTATGAAGTCATATGGCATCAATGTGAATCGTCTCCACTCCGATCGTGCCAAAGAACTGATTGGTAGGCAAACAGCTGCCTGGTGTGCAAAAAATGGTCTCAGACATACCTTTGGTGGTGGCGATGACCCCGCCAATAATGGTCATGTCGAAGCGGAAATCAACCAACTGAAACGCAGAACCAGGCTTTACCTGCGGAATGCTGGGTTTACAAACGATGAGTGGCCCACCGCTCTCCGGTACTCAGCCGAAGAGAGAATGAGGGTCCAATTGAGTGCCCTGGGCGTCACCATGATGCCCATGCTTCCGTATGGTGCCTCTGCGGTTGTGAAAAGGAAACGATGGCATTCCCCTGGAGTACTTGCTCCTCCGTATGTCAATGCCACGCTTCTGACTGCTAGCCCCAATATGAGTCAAGGTTGGGTCGTGCGGTCGGAAGCTGGGCAGGTGCTCCATGTAAGAGAGGCCATTTTGCCTGCATCCCTGGGAGAGCAGGTTGCCATGGAACTGCGGGAAGAATCGGCTGATTTTCCGCAACTGGAAGAACGAGATGACAATGGAGCGGTAGCGGCACCTTCACGACGAAGGCTCGTGGGCAAACAGCCGCCGTCCAGTCGGTCAGGGATCGCTTTGCCAGACCGCGAAGCTTATGGTCCTGTTCAACAGTTTGTTGTAGACTCAACCGTCAACAGGGATGACTTTGAACAAACGGGGGAGGCACCAGCGCAATTAGGCTTCTTACCAGCCGAGTTGCCAGCGGATGCGCCTTACTCTCCTAGTTTGGGCCCTGAAGACACTGCAGACCTCGAGCTCCCGGAGGTTGCCTCTGGGGGGAGGGTCTCGGCACTCGAGCTTCCGGAGGTTGCCTCCGGGGGGGAGTCTCTTTCGGCGCTGAATGTGCCTGACTTGGGAAAAATTATAGTGAGAAAAATCCGCAAGGAACAAGCGGAAGGGGTTCTGTTGGGAAGCCACAATCGGCTTCTGATGGGTTTGAGTGAAGCATTGAGACGGGTCCCAACGAGTGAACAGGAGGGACTGGAATACGGAAAACAGCTCCGTTACATGCTTCAAGATCGCCTGGAGCTGGAAGAAATGCTCCAAGTGTTGTCAAAATTGCAAAAGGCGGACATGATTCGACTGTGCGGACTGAGAACTGAGGGGATCCCGAAGAATGGTGAAGGGGATCAGGAAGAAGTTCTTCAGTCCACCACAGTGGCACTGGAAGAAGTCAGAAGGGATTTGGCCGCTTGGACTCCTGCAATGCAGGGGGAATGCAATAGCCTTGTGAAGGAGACTCAAGCCATCGAGCCGGTGTCGGTTTGCGACCTGGACGATGAGCAGGTTGAGTACGTCCCAGGAAAACTGGTGTGCGTACGCAAGGCGGGGAAAAATGGTGGACGGAAAAAGTGCAGAGCAGTGATCTGTGGAAACCTGCTGGACAGTGCCTGGGATCCAGCGCCCAGTGGAGCCTACGCTTCAGGGGCGGATGGAACAATGATCCGAGCTGTGATCAACCATGGAGTCCAACGAAGCTGGGGGGCATCTGTCACAGATATACGCACAGCATTTCTGCTCGCGCCACGTCCGAAGCCTGAAGGTGGACGAGAGGTCATAGTCGTACCGCCAAAGGTGATGATACAAGCGGGAGTAATCCCGGCAACTGAAAGATGGAGAGTGCATAAAGCACTTTACGGATTCACTTCGAGCCCGGCGCATTGGTCAGCGCACAGAGATCGAACGATGAAAACCTTTCAATGGCTGGAAGGTGAATGGATGTTTTACCTTCGCCCGACGGAGGAAGCAAATCTCTGGAAGATTTGGAAGGTTAAGGCCGCGGAAGAAGGCCGTGAAGAAGCAACCGAACCGGAATGCGTGGGACACATCATTGTCTATGTGGACGATCTAATGGTGTGGGCTGAACGGTCAGTGCGACTTGGTTTCCTGAACAGGGTAGAGCAGGAGTGGAAAATTTCTGCCCCGGAACATGTGGATGACCAGAAATGGGTCCGGTTTTGCGGTTTCGAGCTGAAGTGGGCGGATGAAAATCGCCTCCAGGTAGCACAGCCTTCTTACACCAGAGATCTCCTGCAGAGACATGGGGTGAAAAACAAAAAGGCCGTGCCAATGTCCAGGATAGAGGTGCCAGAGGCCTTGGAGGAATCCGTGACTGCGGAAGAAATCAAGGCTGCTCAGGCACTGACGGGAGAACTACTCTGGCTTGCTACACGGAGCCGACCAGATCTGAGCTTTGCCGTGGCGCAGATGGGACGTCAGGTATCCAAGCGACCGCGGTGGGCGGTTCAGGTGGGTCAAGGAATCTTGGAGTACTTGGCTGGAACTCCTGACTTGGGATTGATGTACGAAGGAAAGCAGGGCGACAGGGGGCCGGAAGGCAACTTGCCGATCCCTAGACACGAAAAACTGATAGAATCCTTCAGTGACATCAGTTTTGCACCACAAGGAGAAAGGAGCCTGCAGGGGATTATCACCTGCGTGGGAGGGGCACCGCTCTTGTGGGAAGCAACAAGACAAGCTTTTGCCACGTTGTCCACAGCTGAGAGCGAGCTGGTCGGGTACGTAGAAGCTATGGTGATGGTTCAGTCGGTAGAGGCTTTGCTGCAAGTGATATATGGTTCACAGCAGTTTGAAAAAGTATTATATGGTGACAACACGTCTGCCATATCAATACTACAGCAGCCCGACGGGCCCTGGAGAACCAGACATTTGAGACTTCGGTCCAACTGTCTTAAGGAAAAACTCCGCTCCGAAAAAGGAGACTGGAAAATCCGACACCTCAAGGGGACGGAACTCATAGCGGACTACTTAACCAAACCTATAGTAGCTAAAGGGGCTTGGGAGAGGTTTTGGAAATTTTTGGGCACCCACAAACCCCGATGTGACCCGGTGGCTGAGGATGAACCACTAAGGAACACTGAGGTCGGTGACCGAGAGCCTGAGAACCAAGACTTCTTGCCTGATGTGGTCGCTGGTGCCGAGTTGGAATGGCGCGAGACGGAGACCGCTGACGAGCTCAAGGTGAAGGCCGCTACGGTAGTTTCTTCCTTGAAAAAATGGGTCAATGTGCCCATCGTAGGTGAGGTGACCGAAAAGGTCAAGGCTTTTGTAGCTGTGGTTTTCACTTTGGTGGTGATGTCATTGGTTGTACGGCTGAAGAGATTGGAGAATCCGGACTGGCCAGGGTTAAATCAACAGTCTTTAGACGACCTTTCTTCAATCTTGGAAGCTCTAGGTACCTTGGATGAGATGATCAACGAGGAAAAACAAACAAGAGCCATTGGCCGACAAGACTTTCAAGAGGTCCGGGAAAATGAACCGACCCTAAGGAAGGTACAAGTTGTTCCGAGGGAAAATGAACCCGGTTCAACACAAGGGCTGACCCCCGAAAACCCCGAAGGAACCAAGGTTTTGGGAAGGGAAACCCCTAAGAGTTTTGGTTTGGGAACCCAAAAAGGTTTGGGGGATAGTAAACCCAGTTTTGACGCTTTTGGGAGTCGCGTGGCTAGTACTGAGAGTGGCGGTGCAGCAGAACCTTGTTCTGAACCCCTTCTTTTCGTTGTTTCGGGTTCTAACCACTGCCCTGAGGGCTGCCCCGGGTCGTTCAGAGCTTGCGCATTGCGTTTGGGCGACGCCATGGCAAGCACGACTGGTGGTGGAGTTGGAGGAGATGAACCTGACGAAGATCGGCCGGACAAGTCCTGGGTGAAGGGCGACTATGAGCCGGAGCCTTCGAAGAAGAAAAAAAAGAAGAAGAAGAAGGGCAAGGGGCACCGACATGAAGGTGAAGGGGAAACTGCGGAGGACCAGTTGGAGTCCTTCAAGAGAGCCAAGAGAGCCAAAAAGGAGGAGCCAACCCCCGTCGCAGTACCTGCTGAGACCCGCTCCGAACCTTCGGCAGACACCGAAGATGACTGGGGAAAGTGGAGAGGAAATAGAAGGGACCAAGAGCCAACTGAAGCGCCTGAAGCTCCGGAAGCTGCTCCAGGAACGCCAGTGGTGATCTTGGGAGAAGCGGTGCCTACCACACCACCGCTATACCCCTTGGTTGATGCTGCTGGACATGGTAGCTTCAGGCCCCCGGAACCAAAGAATCCGCCGAGGACTTCTTCAACGGCGGGCTCTACGGCAACAGCTGCTGGGCCGACAACAGATGTTGGACCGACTACGGATGCTGGCCCGACGACAGATGTTGGACCGACTACGGACGCTGGGCCGACAACAGATGACGGACCTTCGAGCTCTAGAAGCTCGATGAACCTTCCTGGGCATTTGGTGTCCTACTCAGTGCGAGGTTTTGGCAGAAGGACCGTGGAATGGGGGTACTACACTCCTGAGGGTGAGCCAATGGTGATTGTGCCATCTTCACCTGATCGGTCCGAAGAGCATGAAGAGTGGACAGGGGATCCAGCTGGGTCCACTGAAGAGCCTGAGGAGGAGGTGCCGCCAGAAGTTCCTTCGGAGAAGGAACAATCAGAAGATCGATCCGACAAGGATCGTGAGAAAAAGGAGAAGAAAAAGAAAAAGAAAAGGGAGGAGGAGATTGAGAGGTTGCCGGTCATCGAAAGAGGACCGCGTGATCCACCACCAGATCCTCCTGCACCTGCCTTGAAGCTGGCTGCGCTGAGGATGCCGTGCAGCACTGGCCGAGATGAAGGTCATGGTCGACGTCAGCAGGGAGAAGAAGGCCAAGCCGATGAAGAGGAACCCTGGGAACGTGCTGAGTTCCAACAGCAGCCCTCGGGAAAGAAGGATGGATGGACGCTACAGCTGAAGGGCTGGGTGATGAGAAAACATGGAACCATGCGAGAGCGAAGGTTCCACCCGCTGCACCGTGGTGTTCCGTTCGACCCCAACGGCTTGGAAGCGCTGCGGGTGACCGTAGCCTTTGGACAGGACGGTCGAAGAACTGTCCACCGAGATCGATGGTCGGATGGACCTAAGGATCTCTTTCCCACCAAGGAGTCTTGGAGGGGCTTCACGTTCTTCAAGCTGAAGAACCTGGAGGGAAACCAGGACGGTATCGGACAGGTACCTCGCTACCATGCGGGGGAAGATGGTCCTTTACCGTATGTGCCAACTCAGGAACCTTTTGGGCCTACAACGACTTCGAGCTCTACCTCGAATGCTGCGGCGGAACCTTCGAGCTCTACCTCGAATGCTGCTGCGGAACCTTCGAGCTCTACGGCTGCGGCTGCTGCTTCTGGCGCTGTTCTGCGCTGGGGCTACCGCCGAGGAGGCGCTGCTGAGAGGGGCCGAGTAGTTGTACAGGCTGGTTCTCAGACCCCGCGACCTCCCGCCAATGCCGAAGAAACTAGCGGCGAATGGAGCGTCATAGAGGAGGTCTGAGAAATTTTTGAGTTTGTAGCACTCCAGGGCTGGGGCACTGGAGTGGGGGGAGTGCGAGCTGTGAAACAGTTAAGCACATAACCACCCCTTTTTTCAAAGATAGTACAGATGTCTCCAGCTGGCAGCTCCATGCCTTGAGGCCCCTGCTAGCAAGGATGACACGCACATGGATGACAAGCCCCCGCCGAATGCAACTGGGCATTTGGCTCAAGACCTGAGGCCTGAAAAAAGGTACAAGCTGTTGCTTGGCGGCCGACTGTGTTTCCCTTGGATTAAAATAATCATCGGACACTTGGGTGTCAACTTTGAATCACGAAAACTGGTTTTGAGATGGGGATTCATATTCAACTTGGAATCACAGATAGACTGGTCGATCTCTGATCTTGAACCATCCCATTTTTCCAGGTTTCAAGTGGTAAAGCCAATAATCAACTACGTATCCATTGAGGTATCCCCAATATCCCCGCAGATGGGTGGTCAAAAACCATTCCCACACCGTGGAGGATCACCCCGTAGCTGGTTCGTATATAAGTGGCTTGGTTTACCCATTTCATTACAAAGGGGATAATCTGTTGACGTAGAGACTTAGTAACCAGACTTATTCACCACCATGGAATGATCCCACGCTCCAAGAAGCTGCCAGAAGCCGACCTAGGCCAAGTCCCTTAAGGGTCGTTTGGGCGCCATTGCCGATGTCAGGGATCCCGGGGATCCCTACACTCCGGGGATGGGAGAGCTGATAAGGCTGATAAGGAATGGCAACATGTTGGTGTAAGATCCTGTGATGTTTGATTCTGTTTGATTCTGTAGTGGCTTTGTCCAAAGAAGAGAAGGGGCCTCCAAAATATAGTTTATCATTGTTTTCCCTCTTAAAACTGCTAGTCAGCTAGTCTTCAGGGTTACAGCTCATTTTTGGACCTCAACCCAAGATTCTTTCTCCAACGATGGGAAAGCCCCATCAATAGTGGCAAAAATCATCAACAACCAGGCTGCCTACAGCATCGTTGGCACGGCCGCAGAGGATGCGGAGGAGCGGTTGAATGGTTGGGGAAGCCCAGTGGATTTTAGAGAGATATCATACGGATATATGATATATGATATATGATATATGATCTATGATCTATGATCTATGATCTATGATCTACCTACCGATCTATCGATCTATCGATCTATCTATCTGTCTATCTATCCATCTATCTATCTATATATCTATCTATCTATCTATCCTATCCTATCCTATCTTATCTATCTTATCTGTCTTGTCTATCTTGTCTTTCTTGTCTATCTTATCTATCTTATCTATCTAACCTATCTAATCTATCTTATCTATCTATTTATCTGTCTATCTATCTATCTATCTATCTGTCTGTCTGTCTATCTATCTACTTATCTATCTATCTATCTATCTATCTATCTATCTATCTATCTATCTATCTATCTATCTATCTATCTATCTATCTATCTATCTATCTATCTATCTATCTATCTCGTCTATCTCGTCTATCTCGTCTATCTTGTCTATCTTGTCTATCTTGTCTATCTTGTCTATCTCGTCTATCTTGTCTATCTCGTCTATCTCGTCTATCTTGTCTATCTTGTCTATCTTGCCTATCTTGTCTATTTTGTCTATCTTGTCTATCTTGTCTATCTTGTCTATCGTGTCTATCTTTTCTATATTTTCTATCTATCTTATCTATCTTACCAATCTTATCTATCTTATCTATCTTATCTATCTTATCTATCTTATCTATCTTCTCTATCTTCTCTATCTTGTCTATCTTGTCTATCTTGTCTTTCTTATCTTTCTCATCTATCCTATCTATCTTATCTATCTTATCTATCCTATCTATCTTATCTATCTTATCTATCTTATCTATCTTATCTATCTTATCTATCTTATCTATCTTATCTATCTTATCTATCTTATCTATCTTATCTATCTTATCTATCCAATCTATCTTATCTATCTAATCTATCTAATCCATCTAATCTATCTAATCTATCTAATCTATCCTATCTATCTTATCTATCTTATCTATCTTACCTATCTAATCTATCTAATTCATCTAATCCATCTAATCCATCTAATCCATCTAATCGATCTAATCGACTAGTCTATCTAATCTATCAAATCTATCAAATCTATCAAATCTATCTAATCTATCTAATCTAATCTATCTAATCTATCTATCTATCTTATCTTAATCTTAATCTTATCTTGTCTTGCCTTGTCTTGTCTTGTCTTATCTTATCTTATCTTATCTTATCTATCTATTTACCTGTCTACCTATCTACCTATCTACCTACCTACCTATCTACCTATCTACCTATCTATCTACCTACCTACCTACCTATCTATCTATCAATCAATCAATCAATCTATCTATCTATCTTTGTATGTATCTATCTATCTATCTATCTATCTATCTATCTATCTATCTATCTATCTATCTATCTATCTATCTATCTATCTATCTATCTATCTATCTATCTATCTATCTAATCTATCTAAATCTATCTAATCTATCTAATCTTCTAATCTATCTAATCTAATCTAATCTATCGATCACTACTATCTATCTATCTATCTATCTATCTATCTATCTATCTATCTATCTATCTATCTATCTATCTATCTATCTATCTATCTATCTATCTATCTATCTATCTATCTATCTCGTCTATCTCGTCTATCTCGTCTATCTCGTCTATCTCGTCTATCTCGTCTATCTCGTCTATCTTGTCTATCTTGTCTATCTTGTCTATCTTGTCTATCTTGTCTATCTTGTCTATCTTGTCTATCTTGTCTATCTTGTCTATCTTGTCTATCTTGTCTATCTTATCTATCTTATCTATCTTATCTATCCAATCTATCTTATCTATCTAATCTATCTAATCCATCTAATCTATCTAATCTATCTAATCTATCCTATCTTTCTTCTCTATCTTGTCTATCTTGTCTATCTTGTCTATCTTGTCTATCTTGTCTTTCTTATCTTTCTCATCTATCCTATCTATCTTATCTATCTTATCTATCTTATCTATCTTATCTATCTTATCTATCTTATCTATCTTATCTATCTTATCTATCTTATCTATCTTATCTATCTAATCTATCTAATCTATCTAATCTATCTAGCCTATCCTATCTATCTTATCTTTCTTATCTATCTTACCTATCTAATCTATCTAATCCATCTAATCCATCTAATCCATCTAATCCATCTAACCCATCTAATCTATCTAATCCACCTAATCCATCTAATCCATCTAATCCATCTAATCGATCTAATCGACTAATCTATCTAATCTATCAAATCTATCAAATCTATCTAATCTATCAAATCTATCTAATCTATCTAATCTAATCTATCTAATCTATCTAATCTATCTACTTATCTTATCTTAATCTTAATCTTAATCTTATCTTGTCTTGCCTTGTCTTGTCTTGTCTTATCTTATCTTATCTATCTATTTACCTATCTACCTATCTACCTATCTACCTACCTACCTATCTACCTATCTACCTATCTATCTATCTACCTACCTACCTATCTATCTATCAATCAATCAATCAATCTATCTATCTATCTATGTATGTATGTATGTATCTATCTATCTATCTAATCTAAATCTAATCTATCCAACCAAATCCAATCTAAATCTAATCTAGTAATCTAATCTAATCTAATCTAAAAAAAAAAAAAAACAAAAAAAAAAAAAAAAATAATCTAAAAAAAATAAAAAAAAATCTAAATAACTAATCTAAATCTACAAATCAATCTAATCTATCTATCTATGATCTATCTAGCTATCTACCATCTACCCCTCTCTATCTATCTATCTAATCTATCTATCTATCCTATCTATCTAATCTATCTAATCTATTATCTATCTAATCTAATCTAATCTATAATCTAATAACTATCTAATAAAAAAAAACAATTCTAATTAAAATCTATCTAAAAAAAAATCTAATCTAAAAATATCTAATCTAAAATAAAAAAAAAAAAAAAAAAAAAAACAAAAAAATCTAAAAATAAAAAAAATAATTAAAATCCTATCTAATAAAATAACTAATAAAAAATAAAAATATCTAAAACTAAACTAAATCTATCTAATCTATCTATCTATCTATATTTGATACATCCTAATATGATCTAATATTTTAATATATGTTATATGTTTATACTATATATTGTTGGATATTATTGGGATATGGGATATAACAATGTTTTACGATATTCCTAGATATAGTGGCTATAGCTTTCGATTTTAAAGGGGATAGAATGGGAATATCATGTGGATATAGTGGGATTAACATGAGAGCGGAACCATCCACTGGTTGGTGACACATTTTGCATTTTCCATCCATATGTGATGATGATTCCCAATGATGAGCATATTCTTCAGGGGAATTCCAAGCCACCAGGATGAGGACTCCGTAGATTGATGGCTTCCCGCGTCATTTCAACGTTGGAGCCCGCGCATCACAATTCATGGACTCCGTAGAATGGTTGCTGCAAATATCCCAGCCAAGAACTATTCTTCAATGGATTGGTTTAAGGGAAAATCTACAGGAAACCATGGTTTCTACCATCAAATATAGGGGTTTCCTGTAAATTTTCCCGTCATCCAATTCTATGAATTCTGCAATAACCTACATCCAAAAAAAACACTGGTACCAGTTGCTTTCCAACATTCCTCCAACCAATTTGTCCAGACTTTCAAGGTGAAGAACATCTGAATGAGTCCCCAGACGAGCAGCTTGGACGCAGCCTGGTATTTTTTTCCTGTGATGGCTGGGATGATAGGGTGTGGAGCATCCAAAGCACTGGAACAAAATGGCAATTTCAACCAAAAAACGGACGGAACAATTGGTTGTGGTGGCTTTCAGAATGGTGAGATAGCTCTGACACGAAAAATCAGGGATGGAAGCCAATCAGCACATGGCACATGGCCAGGTTGAGAACGAAGCCATGCAATTTGGGGGTCAATCGCTTTGAGCTCTAGCTACATAGGACCAAGAGTAAGAGGTTTCCAAAGTCATGGTACACCCAGTCATCATCCATTTTAGATGGGGATGTTCCATTCTAAACCAACAATTTTTGGATACCACCATTCATTGGAAACCAGGATTTTCAATTTTAACAGGATTTTCAACTATAAACCATCCAGCTGTTGTGGGTACCTCCATTTATGGAACCCCCAGTTGCTTCAATGGCAACGATTCTGATGCACTTTGGGGATCCCGCAAAGGTAGTGACTACCAAGAGTTGGAAGCAAGAGCTTGGATATCTCGGCTAAGCCCCACCCAAAAAAAAGTATACATATATATAATATGTATATAATAACATATGTATGTATCATGGTATCAAAACATATCAGATGTAAGCCAGCAAAGCTCAGGGGTTCTCTTGAAATCAATAGTGAGATGGTGCCTGCCCAGTTTTTTCTCCCCAAACAGTGTGTCCACACTGAGGGGTTCTTACGGTAATTGTAAAGGCCGGTGCTTGATCAGGGTGCTCCAGCTGGGCCGTGGCATTTGTCCCGTAAATTTCTTTACAAAGTGGCTCTTGTGACATGTTGGTGTGCGTTTTGACTGCGCAGGCTCGCGCAAAGTGTGGGTTCCGTCTTGGGCCTCAACATGATCATCCTCAACATCATCATCTCCCTCCTCCTTGACCTCATGATCCTCGACATCATCAACCTCCACCTCATCATCCGCAACATCAACATTCATGATTTTCCTGTTCGTCATGCTTCTCCACATTATCCTCCTCCTCCTCCTCCTCCTCATCCTCATCCTCACCCTCATCATCACCATCATCATCATCATCATCATCATCATCATCATCATCCTCTTCTCCGCATCATCATCCTCCACTTCACCTTACGCATTATCGTCCTCATCCTCATCCTCCTCAACATCATCACCCTCAACATCATGATCCTCAACATCATCGTCCTCAACATCATCATCCTCAACATCATCGTCCGCAACATTATCAACCTCATCACCATCACCATCATCATCATCAACAACAACATTGTCATACATTATCCTCCCACTCCCCCACGCTGTTTGGGGTCTCTTGCCGGGATAATATTAAACTGTAACGTTACAGCACCAAATGATGTCCACCCCATTCCACGAATCCACGAACCAGTGGCTGAACTTTGGTGCATTTTTGACCTCCAGCGTTTTTCGCCATGCCAGGCAGATTGAAGAACAGGACCACATGGCCCAGGAGAGACTGTGCATCACATGGAGCAACAACCAATTGGTATTTATCCCTACAACCACCACCAAATTGAGGTTTGACCACTCAGAACTGGGATATTATGAACAAAACGGTGTCGAATTCACTTGTATAGACATGTATTGTCTAGTGTAATTCCTCTAGGGTACTCACCTTTTCTAGTGGAATTGTCACTCATGGAAACTGACATTTTGCATTCACCAACCAGCAAAGAAGAGAAATCCAAAAGTCTTTGGGCTGCCGCTCACACTGGTTGAGATTGGAAACATTGAGTTTGACTTCAACTTTGGTGAACAAGTGAAGACTCTAAACTAGACAGCGTGCCCCCGGCTGACCTCGGGGCATTACTTGATGCTATGCCAGCAATTGGGGAAGGTCATGGAAGGTCGCTAAAAAAAGATCGAAAATTGCATATCCTCCAACAACGCCTGATGTTTTGGAGGGAAATCTCCACTGTCGATCCCAAACCTTCAGGAGGGAGACTATAGCTATGGAGGCGAAGGAGACTATAGCTATGGGGGAGGACGGATTGACGGGTTCGTGTGTAAACTTCACGGAAATTTGTAGCTGTGGGAATGTGGGATAAATTTGATCAGTGTCACCAGTGCTCACCTGAAACAGCTCTTGCAGTGTAGTGGAAAACGAATGAAAATGACCCTTGGGAAGAGCAACAACTCTTTCGGATGTCCTCGATATTTTGAGTTGAATGAATGAAGTCAATCATTGTTCATGCACCTGTTTGATCCTGTTTGTTCATGTGGCCGGGTTTCTCTAATTTTCCCGAATCCAACCATATCTGTAGGAAAACACAACCAGAATCATCAAATTGTGATTTTTGGGGTCCACTTTGTTGGAAACGGGTCAGCGTTGGGCGCGACGAAGATGTGATAGCAAATAGTGGACCAAAGTTTGCCTTTCATTGTGCCTTAATTTTACATACAGTAATCCTGAAGTAGATAGAATACTGTAATGTTCATTAAATTATTGGGTTTCCAAACATATTCCCCATTTTAGTGATGTTTTTTTTTGAAGAACACATATTTTATCTCCAGGGTAACGACCTACCCGCCATGTACACGATTTGGTGGTCACAGCTGTCCCGCAGGACAGGAAGATTACAGCTATGGGAATGGAGGCTATGAGGATTATAGTGGGAGACTGAGGTCATCGTGAAACTGAACGCCTGGGGATGACTGGGCTTCTGGATAGCGAAATGATGGGATATTTACAGACGAAATGATGGGAAGATATGGGAAGTGTCATACCAGTCATACCATTCCAAAACGAACTTGTTTGCGTAATCCTAATTTCAAGGCAGAATTCTCTCAGGTTCTCGACGTTTCTAGGGGTGTCATTGCCAGGATTTCTCATGACTTCCCATCCCGATGGGAAATCCACAGACCCCCATGGCTTTTCCTGAATTTTCCCTTAAAACAATCCAAATGGGGCTTCTTGTATTATCTGGTTGGTGGTTTGGAACATGAATTTTATGACTTTCCACATACTGTGAATGTCATCATCCCAACTGACTTTAACTCCATCATTTTTCAGAGGGGTTGGTTGAAACCACCAACCAGTTATGGTTTTCTCTGAACATACCCCATATATATATATATTATATGATTAACTTTCCCATCCCTGCTTATGGGATTCGTCCAAGGCCATGGCCATGGCCCAGAAACGACTCCAGTGCCTTGGTGGAACGAGACGTAGAACGACATGAGTGGCGGCCGTTTGCGCATTTAAGTATATAAAGCAGATATGTAATATGTATATATATACACACATTTCACGTAGAATATAGATAAATATATATATATATATATGATATGATATCATATGATATCATATGATATCATATGATATCATACAATATAATCTACTTTACTACAATACAATTTAGTATACTATACTGTACTATATGCACATTCAACATACATGGATGGTCTCGAAAGGCGAGGTCTTTCAACCCTGGAAAACCTTTCTGAATTTTCAAAAAACACTGAAACGACCTTAGAAAGTACTCACCAGCAGATGTCAAGTGCCCGCTTTCAAAGATTTCCAAAAGCCATTGGCTGAATATGTCAGTTACCTGAGTTTTCCAAATGAATTCCGACAACTGCTGAATTTGCGGGGTTCCATTTAATGTTCGGTTTCCTGAGTCATAGGGCTACCCCGGGTACCATCATCCATTTTACATTGCTATGTTCCATTATAAACCACATTTTAGATTGCTATTTTCCATGAAATCAACCATCCAGCTGTGGGGGTACCACCATGACGACATGGAAACCTTCATCTAATGCTCCGGTCACAATGGTCACAGCACTGCATGACATGCTGTACCTTTGTTGATCCCAAGGATATGGTGCAAGGTGCTCAACTGCCGTTGGTGGCACCAGAGGCGCCACTGAGTTTCTGATTGAAACATGGATCAAATTGTCAGGTGACTAAAAACATGGTGAACTATGGTTTGTGGATGTTTGTGGTAGATATAGTTATAGTAGAAGATAGTTTTCATGGAATATTCATGGGATATTCATGGGATGATATATGGTATATGCCCTCTGGTGTCATCAAATGTGGCTGGAAATTCCAGCCATTTTGGGGTTTGCGATGACTTTCCCAGCTGGATTTCCCAGCTGTCCCAGCTTGCCATGTTTGATTACCAGACCGCCAAGCTCAGTTGGGGGACTTGTCATCCCAGTTGCCACCCATGGCGGCATATTGGATCTCTCAGCCTGTGCGGGTCAGGTTGGGAGAATCTGAGATGTTAACAATTTTTCATGATGAAATATTATGAAACACATGAAACATTATGACATATTCATATTGACCATTGAGTGAATCGGTGCAAATTCTTCTCTCCTCGTTGCTTCGTGAAAAAAGGAGAGTGATTCTCCCAAACGAGCACCACAGCCTGGATGGCCCACAAGAAACATTGGGTCTCTCGAAGCAATAGAAATCAGATATTTTCAGATGATATCAGTATATAGAGATCAGATGATGTCAGTATATATCATATATATATGATATATCATTAAAGTTTTTTGGAGCACGGATATCAATCTTTCCATGTCATCAGGCTAAGTGCTTTGTTCATGCAACACGAGGTTTGGCGCTACCCACGCTTCCATTCAGCCCGCAGGAGGTGCCGTTCCAGCATGGATATTGCAAACATATTCCAGTCTAGATGGGGATTTAACCAACAAACATAGTAGATTAATATATAGATTAATCTGGGTAAATTATAACGACCTCACTGCGACCTCACTGGAATCGTGGTTAATAAGGGAAATCATCCCCAAATGGCCTTATTTCAGGTTAGTGGATTATTTTAATTTACCCAGATGAATGGGATATAGTGGGAATATAGTGGACATTAAAAATTGGGACATAGACATGTTGGAAAACATGGAAACACATGATGAAGAGTGATGATCATTGATATTCAATTGAAAGATGATTCAGACATTTAGTGCGAACCTGTCCTCGGAACCAGATGGCATCTCAGGCACCCTTAAACCAACAGAATCGGCAATCTAAGGTGTGTGAAAATTGCGTATCTACCTTTGGATCCTTTGATTCGAAACATGGCCAAGATCAGTCCTTTGCCTTCCCAAATTCATATATATATATATATAGAGAGCATGATAGAACCAAAAGGAATTGGGGATAGAGCACTATGGCTTTACTTTTGAATTCCAGACCATTTTTTTGGGGCGATTCCAGCCTTTCTTGCAGCAACTGCCGGGGGGATCAAAGTGGAACATGTTGCCTGGAGAGGCCCCAGTTGCAACATGATTCTCTGGTAGGCCCATGAAAACATTATCTAAACACTGCAGATGATTCAATGCAGCGTTCTAGAATCATCCCTTCCCAATTCCCCCTTATTCAAAAAGGAAACAAAAGGGTGTGCAAACAAACCTTTTTGACTTTGTTGATCCAAGGATTGGGGGATGTAACATCGCTCTCAGTCCAGGCGATCCTTTCTCTGAGATGTTGACCGTGGTGATGAGAAGTCAGACATCGCAACGCCCAAAGTTTCGCCGCTGTTGGTGGATGGTTATATTATTCATGCTTGGGCTACTATCCTTTTTGAAATAATTGAAAGTTGAGGTTTGATTCTAGGGTCAAAAATCGAAGCTGCTTTAGTTGATTTCCTGTAATCCACGAATTAGAATCTGATTCTACAACTGTTTTTGACGGCCGATGTCGGTCTCTGATGATTGAGAAAGCAGCCAAGATTCCTATATGCTCACTAGCTGAACAAATCATCCGCATAGCCAAATCTCAACCTCTGTATCGATGTCCCACAACATCCCAATGACTCAGCTTACCATTGCGATATTTTTAAACTGTCACTTCTGAATGTTTTCTATGACATGGTACATAAAAGCTGATAACACAGACTACACCAGTTGACTTTCAGGGTAAATTGGGCTGACTTCTTCTCTGAGCACCTCGCGTTTCTTCACGTCCAAAGTCGATGTGAAACAATGAAGAGGCAGCGGACATTGAAAAGAAGTTCTGAGCGAACAGGTTATGTTTACTTCTTCCTGTGCAAAATCCGACGAACTGGGAAGCTCTGTTGAACTGGATGGTGGTTTATGGTGGTTTTGGTTGACCATGTTCTATTGATTCTATTGGGAAGATGATGCCAGTGGATATTCTTTGAAAACGGTACCACAGAAACCACTGAACCACTCAGTATATATTGGTTCATCATGTAATCCCCAGAGACTTCATCTTGGTGTTTGAACAAACCCATTTCGCAAAGCCACGTTTCTTGGAGCTTCCTTGGTTGAACACATGTTTTCTACAGTGCCGCATGGTTGCGGTTCTTGTTAGCAAAACGCCCCACATTGACCTCTTCGGGATTGTGGTAAGTCAGTGGCTACAAAGGAACACCCTCCAGTAATCAAACATGGCTAGCTGGAAAATCCACCATTGAGTTCGATGCTTTTCCAATTGAGGTTTCCATTCATGGGGAATTTCTCATCAGCATGTTTGATTACTGAAGAGTAATGTGGTAAACCAAATGCAATAAACCATCCGCAAAATCACCATTTTTATGGGTGCTATAAACCATCCCCAAATGGTAGTTGTTTATGGCATTTTGTTTCCCACATTACTATGTTGATTACCGAAGGGTATAGTTTTTCTCAATTGCACAGTAATGCGGAATCAAACAATGACTGCCAAATCGTAGTTTACTCCAATTGATTACCGCATGGTAGTTTACGTTTCAATGTTTTTTCTTTACCACATTGATTAATTAAATGTTATCCCGAGTCATCAAATTTCAGACTTGTTGTGGTTTATCAGACATTTTTCAACATATATTGAAACATATTGAAACATATAAAATCATATAAACACATGTAATATATAAACTACCATTTATACAACATAAACATAAACCTTGATGTTTCATCCTCAAATGGTCGTTCTTTATGCCGTCCGTATGCCGTCACACAAAACACCAGGCCGGAAAGCTGCTGGCAGTGCGCGCGCCGGAGAAGTTCTATGTAGATGGCAGGCCGATGGTCTACCAAGCTCCATGTATATATATTATTATTATTATTATTATTATTGTTATTTTTATTATTATTATATAATAATAATAATTATTATTATTATATATAATAATTACTATATATAATTATTATTATATATATAACTATTATTATGATATATATATATACATAATAATTACAATATATAATTATTGTTATAATATATATATATAATTATTACGTTATATATATAATATTATTATTATTATCATTATTATTATATATTATTATTATTATATATATATATATATTATTTTATTTATATATATACATATTATATACATATTATAACATCTATTATTATGCTGAGTAGTTTTGGGGGGATCTTCACGGCCTTACTGGGTGATTGTTTTTTGTGATTCGATATCGATATATATATATATATGTTATATAATTATGGCTTGAAATGTCCCGATTTGTGGGTGATTTTTGAGCTTTTATGTTTGGTCGCATTCATTGAAAGGTTGATGTTTTTTTTAGTTGATTGACCCAAAATAGGAGATACTCAAACCCGTCAGGTTTTCCGACCAACAATGAGCCGCAACGGTGTGGGATTTGATGGGGTGGAAAGGTCGTATAAATCTACATGTTGATATTTGGGAAATTGGAGAATCACATGGATATTTCATTGAGCCACACCACTCCACAGATTCGTGCAGCAAGCTTGGTAGGTCTCCATGCAGTGGGGAATTGAGATTTGATTGTGGAGGAAATAGACTTTTTTTCACAGGGCCAGGCGGAGGCCTACCGAAGTTTTAGAATATTTTTTTAGCCCCCGACTTAGTCCACATGGTTTTGGAGGCTTTATTGGATAAAGTTCCAAGCTTGGTGATTAGAGTTTCTAGGGATGCTATGGGTACAGTATATACCCCTCTAATGAAGATTTCGAGATATTTCTAGGGCGAAAGCCTCTTCGCACGTATTGGATTGTCCAAAACACATTGAAGCAACTTGATTTTCTAGATTTATTTTTTTTGATGTGGACGCCTATGACTTTGATTCTGGTGTCATTGAGAAGCAATGCCAGCAATGCCCTTTGCGTACACCGTACGCTAGGCCTCAGTACGAGTTGGCTGTGCTCTTTGCTGCGGCGGCGTCCTTGAGCGAATTCTACATCCAGGTGAGAAACCTTTGTTTTTTTTTACTCCTCTGGGGTGTTCCTTTCAGTGTTTGAATCAATCGAAAACTGAGGCCAAATCCTTGAACATAAAATATGGCGAGTTCTCTAGTCCTGACTTTTTTTTTCTCAGTCACCAAGTTGGATGTGGTTCTGACCTCTGACCTAGCTGGAGGTGGAAGAAAACATCGTGGCACAAGAAGGCTTCGTGAAGATGTTGAGAGGCGACAGAAGGGGACAGAAATCGACACGGCAAATATGGGGACCAAAAATGTCCAGAGATATAGGAATGTGCTCCAGTAGTTACCCTCTGGTAATTTTCTACATAGCTATTGAAAATGGCACATGTATAGTTGATTTACCATGATTTACCTATTAAAGATGGTGATTTTACATAGCTGTCTTAGTTTATCAAATGAATATTATTGCTTCCTTTCGTGTATGATCAGTATTTCATCATCATTTATCATGGAATTTGCGTGCGATCCACATGCTGTTTGTTTGAGTTCAAAAACTGGCAGGGGACCCAAGCATTGCTTTTGGATGTCCCAAATTCCGGAGGAATTGATTTCAATGCAGCCACCTTTTCCGAACGAGCCACAGTGCAAGAAGTTGGCATATCATATTCAGAAAATCAGGATCAATTTTCCTCAATGAGTTTTGAACCCTTATCCAAAAATCCAAAATCGTAGTTCACCTTGATACTATAATTACATCCTAAGCTCTTGACATAGTCCTATGATGTCCTATGGGGATGGGTCAAGTTACCTATGACCGCACGCTTTTCTTTCAGGACATTTTTGCATCCAACCAACTATTTTAGGGTACCATCCGGGTCCCAATGTTGACTCATAGCCATACATAGTCCACAAGTTCCCGGGATTTCCCGGGTCACCCCGGGTCACCCCGGGGTCCGCTGCAGGTTATGTGGCCGAACAGACCGTTCCAAACGTCACCGCCTCGTGGAATCTGGTCTCCATCGGCCGCGACGGGTGTGGCACTTGGATCACTTGGATGAAGGTGGATGGGTCAAGTTACCTATTAATATATGGTTAATATAGATTATTACCAGATAATATTACCTATAAATCATATATGGTTAATATTAACTATGGCATATGGTTAATATATGGTTCATATATGGTGAGGGGATAATATATAATTACAGGTTATTGCTAGTGATCATATATTTACCATACGTTAACCATATATTAACCATATATGACACTATCAATAATATGGGATTTTCCATTTACCCACTGGTAAACAACCATAGCTATTGAAAATGGCCATAGAAATAGTGGATTTACTTATTAATAGCATGGTTATTTTCCATAGCTATGTTAGTTTACCAGAGGGTAATAACCATCAATTAAGCAGCTATTTTAGTGTACCGGGTACCAGGGTTTTGACCCATAATCATATACCCTCCGGTAATTGAACATCCATGGGGACTATATGCTGGAAAATTTCATGGGAAGTGATGGGAATTTGATGGGTTTTTCATGGGAAATATACCCAACGACCATGGGAATATCATGGGTTTTTCATGGGATGTACAAGTAACCAGCAACATGGCACCTCCCGGAAAGTTCACGTTGTGCTGTGGAAAATCACCCCTTAGCTCAGAGGCTAAGAGGTAAAACATCCAAGTAAATGGACCATGTTCCATCCATTACTGGTTGGTCATACATGGGGACTGGGCAAATGTCTTGTCACTGTCACTAACAGTGTCCAATCAGTGGATGTTACTGGGATATATGGTGATATATGATGATCTGGCTGGTGGTTTGGAATCATGACTTTCCATCTATTGGGAATGTCATCAGTAGTAGTAGTAGTACTAGTAGTAGTAGTACTAAGTAGTAGTAGTAGTAGCAGTAGCAGTAGCAGTAGCAGTAGCAGTAGCAGTAGCAGTAGCAGTAGCAGCAGTAGTAGTAGTAGCAGTAGCAGCAGTAGTAGCAGCAGTAGTAGCAGCAGTAGTAGCAGCAGTAGTAGCAGCAGTAGTAGCAGCAGTAGTAGCAGCAGCAGTAGCAGTAGCAGTAGCAGTAGCAGTAGCAGTAGCAGTAGCAGTAGTAGTAGTCGTCGTCGTAGTCGTAGTAGCAGTAGTAGTAGCAGTAGTAGTAGTAGTAGTAGGAGTAGTAGTAGTAGTAGTCGTAGTAGTAGTAGTCGTCGTCGTAGTAGTAGTAGTTGTTGTTGTAGTAGCTTGGTGTTCTGATAACTCTTCCTCCCTTACGCACTCCCCCTTGCGCAGCCAGGGTCGGCGGATATATAGATAGACATACACCCATATCTGGACACTCCATTTCTCCAACTAAATCATGTTTCATTTGTTTCAACACATCCTGATCTCGGGGCGCAACTGGCTCAACCCTTCTGAGGTTGCACCGGAAGTTGATGCGTTCGCATCAGTTGATCCGCTTCGTCACTTGGATCTGGATCGCTTCGCCGAGCGTTCAACCGGGGATCCGAGACTCATCCAAGTTATTGGTAATTTTCAAGGGGGAAACCCATAGTGAAATGGGAAATCAACATTTTGAGGGACCCTTACTATAGCAGCAGTAGATGGGTGTATTGAGCGGGTATTTGACCAAGTGGACACGGTAGCAACGGCGTTCAACTAGCACAAAAAGGTTCAACCAAGGATAGATTGGTATTTGAGCAACCAAACAAAACTGCAGCAAATAAGGTATGTTACCTACGGCCAGACAACCACAGACGGAGTGGCCATTTCTTTTAGGCGTTTTTTTATTCAAACGTTCCGGTTTTGGGGGTTGAGGGTATTTGTCTTTGAGTCTTTGACCAACATTTAATTCGGTATGAGTTAATTCAAGTCTCGCACCTAGCAAAACTGATTATTAATAGCAACCCCCAACATAGATAGACAAGTCTTTCCAGGATGTTATAGATGATGTTTTCCCCAGATTTTCCACGTTTCCAACTTTACTATTTGGGGATAAAAATACCAAGAAAATCCCCGACTCATGGAACCTCATGGATTGCCGCCCTTAAGCCACTGGCTTGTGGACTATCACCACATGCTGGGTAAGCCATGAGTCAGAAATGACGACCTTGGGGTATACAAGGTAGGGCTGTTTAGATACCTAGGTTTGTTACTAGCTAGGTCAACAAGTTTGTGGTAGAGATATCATGGCATATTCTATAGTTCCGGAAAAGATAGAAAAAAAAATCCACTATTTTAGTTGGATGTTTTTTTTTCTATTTTTTGCAGATAAGTATATAATACTTTATAGATATTTGAGTGTATACACCAGCAAACATCATTGGGGCCCAGATGCTTCCAGGACCAGGGCTCTGGTTATCACCACCTTTTTTTTTGTGGCAACTGCAGCTGATATCCCAATCTATGCTCACAGATCTCCTCTTCCTGCTAGTTTGATGAAAAAACATGTTCATGTAATTCCCACATTTTTTCGCAGGCAATTTGTCATTGATCACTTCTATCCCCGTTTTTTTCATACGATCGAACATTTCAGCACCTTCAAAATTGATGGATGAATACCTTATTCTGTTATATTTTATAGGATGTTCATTTCTTGGTGGCATGCAATATTCGGCAAATTGAAGAATCATGGTGTGGATCCTCTAAAATTAGAAGAATTGTTGATGGCATCCATCCTCAATCCGTGTTCTTCTTAAATCACATAAATCATCATGTTTGCTAGCATTGATAGTTGGGTTTGTCTGAAAATAAGGTGCCCCAAAAAACCATCCCATAGTCCATCATTGAATCATCATCCCAACTTGTCTCTCTCAAAATATGGGGGGTTCCTAAAATGGTGGTACCGGTACCCATCGGTACCCCTAAATTTTCATAAGTTGTCCATATTTTAATAGGATGTTCCATTGGAAACCAACCTTTTTGGGGTGCTTTTGATGGAAATCCCCATACTGCCGCTTTGTTGGATGAAGTATGACCTTCAGCCAGAGAAAGCCCTGGAAGCCACTGGTTATAGATCACTTTCCGAGCCGGAAACCACCCAAATGTTCGATTTCTGTTAGTTTACCAGAGTTAAACCCACTATAAAGTCGTTCCTATAGATCTATAGTATCAAAAACCATAGCTTAGCAGTCTAATTTAACATAGTCCATCATAAAGATCTGCGAAATGTGGAATTTTATGGAGTTGTGCTATTTATATATCATTAATTTACCGGTATCTATCATTAATTTATATAGGTTACTAAAATTATATAACATGGATATATATATATATATATACACCATAAATTATAGTGGTAAACCATAGGTTATCCAAGTTATCCATTTACTATAAACCATAGTATCTATAGTTTACCATATTACCATATGTTTATCCATATATGGTTTATGGTTATATTATTATTATTAACCATCATTAACCATATAATTTAATAACCATATATTAACCATTATTAACAGTATATTATATCAACAGTATATTAACCACATATTTATGGTTTTATGGTTTACCCATATTGTTTATCCATAAATCTAAACCATAAAAGATTATAGATTATCCATAGATTATCCATATTGTTTCTCCATATTATCCATATATTTCTTAACTAAATAGTAAATTAACTATTAGTATATTTACTTCATTAACTATTACCCTATAGTATAAATGGCTAGTTAAATGGATAGTTAAATGGATTGTTTTCTTTTACTATACCCTATATTTACTATATAGTTCACCTAACTCCTATCCTTCGAAACCGGCCTTGTTCGGTTTCGGTTTCGGGTTTAACGCTCGCCGGTTCGCCAGGCTGAGCTCTTGCCCATCTTCCCAGAGGATCATCCTGGGAAATCCATGGGGAAATATCTATAGATTTAATGGATCTGATCTGCACAAATTATAGCGAGGACAGCCGAGGCAACGAGGCAGGTTGCAGGAATTAGCGAGGTCAGCCCTTAATTTGCTCATCAGAATTAGCCGACCTCGACGAGGTAGCCTTGCATTGGTTCTGTTGCATGCTTGGGCTTGGCTAGAAAAACTTTTTTTGGGGCCAGAGGCCGGTCAGCAGGCAAGGAAGGAAAAAATACTTTTCAGGCCCCAAAAAGTTTTATTTTCTATCGCCAGAGGCCGGTCAGCAGGCAAGGAAGGAAAAACAACTTTTCAGGCCCCAAAAAGTTTTATTTTCTATCGCCAGAGGCCGGTCAGCAGGCAAGGAAGGAAAAACAACTTTTCAGGCCCCAAAAAGTTTTATTTTCTATCGCCAGAGGCCGGTCAGCAGGCAAGGAAGGAAAAAAAACTTTTCAGGCCCCAAAAAGTTTTATTTTCTATCGCCAGAGGCATTGTCAGCAGGCAAGGAAGGAAAAAACACTTTTCAGGCCCCAAAAAGTTTTATTTTCTATCGCCAGAGGCCGGTCAGCAGGCAAGGAAGGAAAGAACAACTTTTCAGGCACCAAAAAGTTTTATTTTCTATCGCTAGAGGCCGGTCAGCAGGCAAGGAAGGAAAAACAACTTTTCAGGCCCCAAAAAGTTTTATTTTCTATCGCCAGAGGCCGGTCAGCAGGCAAGGAAGGAAAAAAAACTTTTCAGGGCCCAAAAAGTTTTATTTTCTATCGCCAGAGGCCGGTCAGCAGGCAAGGAAGGAAAAAAAACTTTTCAGGCCCCAAAAAGTTTTATTTTCTATCGCCAGAGGCCGGTCAGCAGGCAAGGAAGGGAAAAAAACTTTTCAGGCCCCAAAAAGTTTTATTTTCTATCGCCAGAGGCCGGTCAGCAGGCAAGGAAGGAAAAAAAACTTTTCAGGCCCCAAAAAGTTTTATTTTCTATCGCCAGAGGCCGGTCAGCAGGCAAGGAAGGAAAAACGAACTTTTCAGGCCCCAAAAAGTTTTATTTTCTATCGCCAGAGGCCGGTCAGCAGGCAAGGAAGGAAAAACAACTTTTCAGGCCCCAAAAAGTTTTATTTTCTATCGCCAGAGGCCGGTCAGCAGGCAAGGAAGGAAAAACAACTTTTCAGGCCCCAAAAAGTTTTATTTTCTATCGCCGGAGGCCGGTCAGCAGGCAAGGAAGAAAAAAAACTTTTCAGGCCCCAAAAAGTTTTATTTTCTATCGCCAGAGGCCGGTCAGCAGGCAAGGAAGGAAAAACAACTTTTCAGGCCACAAAAAGTTTTATTTTCTATCCCCAGAGACCGGTCAGCAGGCAAGGAAGGAAAAAAAAACTTTTCAGGCCCCCCCCCCAAAAAAAATCTATCGCTAGAGGCCGGTCAGCAGGCAAGGAAGGAAAAAATACTTTTCTGGCCCCAAAAAGTTTTATTTTCTATCGCCACAGGCCGGTCAGCAGGCAAGGAAGGAAAAACAACTTTTCAGGCCCCAAAAAGTTTTATTTTCTATCGCCAGAGGCCGGTCAGCAGGCAAGGAAGGGAAAAAACTTTTCAGGCCCAAAAAAGTTTTATTTTCTATCGCCAGAGGCCAGTCAGCAGGCAAGGAAGGAAAAACAACTTTTCAGGCCCCAAAAAGTTTTATTTTCTATTGCCAGAGGCCGGTCAGCAGGCAAGGAAGGAAAAAAAACTTTTCAGGCCCCAAAAAGTTTTATTTTCTATCGCCAGAGGCCCGCTTCGTGGGTTGTTGGCTGCAGAAGCAGTAGGATTCAGAGTTGCTCCAGAAGAGCATTGCATCTCTGCGATAATGTCAGAGATGTCACCACCCAAGCGCAAGAAGCGCAAGGACCGATCAGACTCAGATTTAAAAATCCCTGCGAGAGACCGTGGATCGTGGAAAAAAACTTTTCGGAAGCTGAAAAGTTTTTTTTCTTGGGGTTGGACCCTGGAAAGAAGGCCCACAAGCTACTTTCTTCCTTCGAATTAACGAGGTAAAGCCTTAATTTGCACCTGCAAATTAACGAACGAGGACAGTAATCATGGGGAACAAATTAAGACACGAGGGAGACGAGGTAAGAATTAAAGTAATTTGGCCAGATCTGATGTATGATATTATTTGATATATTATATGATATATATATTATCAGATGTATAGATAATGTAATGTTTAAATATAGTATATCATATGATATATCATATATGATAATATATATATAATATATGTATATATTGCTACATAATGCTAGAAATATCTAAAGATTGCTACAACATATCTAACTAGACGTGTGGTTTCAATAGGACCAGCATCTATTGGGGATTGAATCGGACAAGTTTGGACAGCGATTGAATCAAACCATTTCTAGCAATGGGAAATGTGATTTTCAATGAACAAAAACTGGTTGGTGGTTTGGAACATGAATTTTATTTTTCCATAGATTGGGAATGTCATCATCCCAACTGACTTTCATATTTTTCAGAGGGGTGGCTCAACCACCAACCAGAAAAGATAAGACGAGTAAATCCATTTCTACTTTGATGTTTCCCACCCAATTGAGCTACTAGAGAGCAACTGACATGTTGTTAAGTGTTTGATGAGCTAGTGTTGATTCATGGTTGGAGACGCCAATAAACTCAATAAACAGAACCAGTTGACAAAAAGACTAGGAACAGCAACGGATAGCAACAGCAACAGTCATGCAGATGACTCCGTGACAGGACCAACAGTGTGCGCAGAAACGGCACATGGTATGGTTTTGTGATTCTGGTGATATCACAGAACTGGAAATAGACCTGCCTATATGAACATTATGAACTTGAGTGAGGTGCCATTTTCTGTTCATTTGAAAAGGACTGGACAGGTTTCCGGCAAACTCAAGTTGCAATCCTTTGAGTGCCATGAACCTGGCAGGTTCCACCAGATTCGTTGATTTGGGTCGGGACCCTGGCGGCCACAGAGGAAGATGTATTGGCACTGGGAATTTTTCAGCAAAGGGTTCACTTGCGATGATTTTAAATAGCCACCATTGATCTTTTAGTTCATATAATTCCATATATTTCCATATATTCCATATATAATTCCATATATTCCATATATAATTCCATATATAATTCCATATATAATTCCATATATTTCATATAATTCCATATGATCCATATAATTCTGATGATTTTAATAGTCCATATGTAGCTAGCCACTATAATTTGGCATCGTTGAGATGGCAACGTCCTGAACTTTGGACAAATTTGTCTCAGCTTCATGCGCCCGCAGCTCGAGGACTATGTGGATGTCATCAACAACCAATCAGCTCCCAAGGTGCCTGTGACTCTCTGGTAGTTTAAGATAGCTATGGTACAGGTGACATCAGGATTTCACCAGTTTTGGTGTTTGTTCAAAATTAGCCAGCCAGAAAATTGCCTCAAGATCAACTCAAAATGCACTCGATGACAAAATGCGATCAAGATAAATGTAGGTATGGGTCAATACCTATAGATACATTTTTAGTGGGATGAACATCCATAAATCCCAGCTATTTTGGGGTTCACTAGGTACCAGGGTTTTGACCCATCCCCAAATGTATGGCTCAAAATGCACTCGGTCTGGCACTCGACGGCTGCGCTAGCGCTGTTTTGCCACCCCAGAAATTGCCCCACGTTGACCCCTATGGATTTAGTTCGATGATTTGCCCTTTGGATTCAAAACAGTGATGTTCCATGCTTACCCTCTGGTAATTTGTCACATAGCTATGGAAAGATCCACCCATTTTAATTGGGAAAATCCACTATTTCTGTGGTCATTTTCAATAGATATTTTGACAGAACCAGAGGGTACGTTCAATTATCAGGTCATCTCAAGTCATCTCAAGTCCAAGAAACCCGTTGGATCAATGGATCGGATGAGAATGGATCCAACTGCACGAGAATTGGGTCATACATGGGGACTGGGCAAATGTCTTGTCACTGTCACGAAAAAAAGTGTCCAATCAGTGGATGTTAATGGGATATATGAGGACTGGTTGGTAAATGTTTGGAACATTTGGATTATTTTGCCATAGATTGGGAGTGTCATCATCCCAACTGACGAACTCCATGATTTTTCAGAGGGGTTGTTTTACCACCAACCAGATGATCTATGCCGGAATTTTCGTGTTCAAATCATTCACCAATGATCTATGAAAACATCTATATACAGCTATTAAAGCATGTTCATGTACCAACCATCATCAACCATATATAATTACATACATACACCATGTATATATATAATATAAATATCATATATGAAAACCATTCACTAATATCATCCTTCTGAACTATGTTTGATCGTTTTTGCCTTTGGCATTCAAACAATTTTCCATTTAATCTTCCATTTAATGATGAATTTGCTGTTTATTTCCACCATCATTTCGGAGATAAAAAGCAGCCGCAGCCAGCTCGTCTGGAGGCGTGTTACATTGCCTTCTCAGCCACAAAGATCAAGCGATCAGATGTGCTGCTGCAGTACCACAAGGCCGAGGTGAGGACCTCTGTCGGCGGGTATTTTTGGAAGGTCAGATGGTTCAGATGGCTCAGATGTGATTCTATGCACGTGGTACGATTTTTTTTGTGTTTCCGAAGTCACGGGGGGTACCCGCAATCATCTTTAGGAGTTTCATGGATTTTCGATGTATAAACCATCCAGCTGTTGGGGGTTCCCCCCATTGATGGAAACCTATTGTAGGCCATCATCGAGCATGTGGGCGATGTGTCGTCATTGGAGGGAAAGGTTCAACGCATCCATGATGCTTCTTGGGCTGCAGACCTGGTTGGGGCTTTACATGGCCCTGTTTGGTTGATGGATCAAGATGGCTGTTTTTTGTTAAATCAATCCTGAAATGGCTGGCCATGGAGAGGCCTTGTTTTTTCAAATAAATCATGGAAGTATAGCTGGTTTTCCAGTGCCATGTTTGATTACCAGAGTAGTTGAGGAGATCGAGCAAACTAATATGGCAGGATGAAGGAAAGGCACGTCAGAACTTGTAAAAAGTGATGTTGCGAACCATGGTGGTGATATATATATATATAGATATATATAATATAATATATATATATAATATATATGTAATATATATATATATATTGTATATATATATAATATAACCACAGGGATGAGTGTGAGGAATGGAGCCAACCACTGGGAAATCGTGATACCAACAATGCAGGTCAGCTGTCGGATGGATTTTCCGGGTCAAAGCCTGGGCACGGTTCAAGGTTGCCAAACAAATGGAGGATTATATTATATTTGATTATAGTATTGAAAAGAAACAATTTCGCAGGTCCATTACCTGGGTTGGTTGGTTTTTTTTTAGCCCCGGGAGCTCTTTTTCGCACTGTAGTAAATGCTGTTGCTGTTTTAAGCTTCACTGAAACACTTTGTGCTTGCGCAATGATGATGTGAGATCTATCTCTAAGGACTACTTCAAGAAGCACAACCTGTTGTCCACCTTGTTCGACAACCCGGCAGCGGACGGGCGACGGCCCATTTTTTGGGCGCTTTTTTTTGGAATGTGTTTGGCTGGAGTCATCATGATATGATCATTTTTCATCATTTTTCGGCAAGAAAGATTTGATGAAACTATTCCATAGATTTCCAAGTCATACGCCATATTTTCCATGGTTGTTTTTTTTTTATCCACATAGATGTCTCCTCTTTGTGCAGGACATCTATCCAGGTGGCAACTTGGATCAATCCACCTCCACCCAATTGCAGGTGCCATGTGAAGGGTATAGTTCCAATGGCCACCTTTGATTACCGGAGGGGACACCCAAAATATGCCAATGAATACTTGTTCCATCTTTTTTCCATCTTTTGATACATGTGTATTATTTTTCGGAATAAATAACACATATGGGGACAAAGGCAACACTCGTCAAGAGTGATTGGTATGCAACAAGGCGGTTTCCAAGAAACAGCACGAGTATAGCAAGACCCAAGTAGATCAAGCAGTTTTTCCAGGACTTGGATTTGGAAAACAAGTCTCCGATCTGTTCTGGCTATCATTTACGCGGGAATGGTATGATATGCCAGGATCAGTGGTGTGTTGGGGGCTCCCCCCATGGTGAGGATGTCTCCAGCTTACCATCAAAGAGTATTATCGTGTTCATCACAGCTTGGTATTGGAATGTGGTGATGTTTGGTTCAGATGCATGGTGTTCTATTTTCCATGCAAGCCACTATGCCAGAGCCTCAGATAGGTTGGCTACCTTTGCATTTTGGGCCCTCGGTTGTCTCAATAAATCATCAAATCGACTGCTCGATTTGTCCATGGCTTTTGAAAGCATCTGACAGCTGTTTGGGTTGGATCAATCGCATTGAAATGCATGGAATTTTGGTCAACTCCCCATGTTTGTGAGTAGAATCTAGATGAAGATAGTAGACTCTCTCCATTTTTTGTTGGTTCCCCATTCCTTTTCAGAAGATGTTCCTTGATTTCCCACCTCAAAACCTTTGGAAATTCCAGTAGAAATTCCTCCAAAATCATCATTCATCAACTTTGTTCCCGTAATTTCCAGGTATTTTCCATCTGATTTCCAGGTAATTTCCAGGAAATTTTCTGTAACTATCTATAACTGACGTTTCTCGAAACCGCCACGGCAGGCTCTCTATGGGGTCCATGGCAACTCTCCCAGCATGGGTGGAGCACCGGCCCGGCCACCCACGGGAGACGGGGTGTACGTATCAATATGGGATGATATATGTATATGTCGGTATATCATATGATTTGATATCATAGATGATATCATAATATATGGTATCATAATATATGATATCATAATATATATATATACATATGTATGTTTGATTATATATATATATATTAATTATACAGTATGTATACTGTACACGCATAGACTCTGTTACGTTTGAGATGTTCTAGATAGCTAGCTAGCTAGCTTGCTAGCTAACTGGGTGTATTGGAGGTACTGGCATTTATGGGTAGATATTGACATGGCCAAAAAGATGTACCATCTAGTGATTGAAATTTGCTATGGCAATTCACACTATATATATATATATATATATATAATACTGAATCACCTATAAAATTGCAATTTTCCGTAGCTATGTTAAATTACCAGAGGGTACATTTCTATGCCCACGCCGAGTAACCTGATACCCTGCTTTTTTGGACAGACATTTGCCAGTATCCCTATACAGGTGTTTTTATACTATATTTTTATTATGTGTGTTTATGGTTGTTTGCTGAATTTTAGTAGGCATCAGAGTATACACCTACCAGCTTGTACCCATAATATGTGTACAACTTGGGTAACCTGATTTCCCCACCTCAATAAGCGATGGCAGAGGAAGTTTCTCCCTAAAAGATAAGGTTTCCATTGAACATGGGGCTTTTATCCTTCAACGACATTGTAGTTTCAGGCAGAGAATGCCTGTCAAGACTTTCCTCGACTTCGCCTTCTGTTCAAATCAAAATAGCGAACGCATTTATGGGTGTTCAGCGACCCAAAAATTGTTGTACCCTCTGGTAAACTAACATAGCTATGGAAAATCACCATTTTCAATGGGAAAACTCACTATAAATCACCATTTTCAATAGCTATTTTGACATAACCAGAGGGTATTGCATTCCTTCTCAAATCATTTCCCCATGAAATGTTCCTCTTGCAAATGACCATGTTCAGGTTTGGTATGAAACTTCTTGGATGGAATCCATCTTTGGAAATCATCAGTTGGCCATGCTCAAAATCATTGACCCGAAAATGTGGAAGGTTTGACATATGGTTTAACACTGATACTCACCAATTGTGTGGGTCCATTGGTAAATATTGGTACTCTAAGTTTGCGCCATAGCCATATCAATCCATTTCTTTTTGGTTGAAACATGTGGACACCTCAATATATTTGTGGCTTATATTTTCAACCAGCCTTTGTTTCCCCATTTGTTGCTGGTTGCAAATACATACATCTTATAATATATCATGAATAATTCGCAGTATTTCTATATCCATATATATATAATATATATATAAATATATTCTATTACACATTCTATTACACATATATTATTATGAAATTGTATATGTATATATACGTAGTATATAATATATGGATCTGAAAATAGGGTACCTCAAAATCCACTGGTTTATCATCATGTTCAATGAAAGAAGCGTTATTTGTTCTTTGTCTTTTAGACACAGCCATATATACTTATATAACTATAGATAGATACTTTTTAGATAACTATTTAAAAAAAACACTATAGATAGTATACTATAGATAACTATAGCTAATTATTGTATCTCCTATCTATAGATCTATCTAATATCAGATAGATCTAGATCTATATCTTACCTACTTTCTTTATACTTTATATGTATATATAACACTGTTTTCTATATTACTATAGATAACTATATACTATAACTATCCTATTTTCGATTCACTGCCCTTGGCGGCTTCGCCGAGGCGGTGAGCCTTGGTTCCACGATCTTTATGGATTTGGTCGGAAAGGTGACGGGTGACCGGCTGGGAGCACCGTTTTTTTTTTTCTGGGACCATAGGATAGTTGTAGAAATTTATGGAATTGATATGGATATTTATGGAATTTATGGAATTTACACTCCTATATATGTACATAATAGATGATACATAATAGTATATATGTATAGTAGATGATAGTAGTAATTATGACATAATTATCCAATAGCAAACCCAATTGTAAATCCAAGAGTACTTGTAAACCCAATAATCATGGTTAAGAATAGTTGATAATTAATGTTTAATAATCAGTGTTAGCCTCGGGTCATTTAACAGGTTTGCGAAATGGGAACTCACATTTTTTGATAGCTTAATCCTTATCATGTTTATCATCTATATACTTACTAGCCAGAGTTTTTTTTGGTGTGTGGGGGGAGGACCATACAATGGTTGTAGATATTTATGGAATTGATAAAAAGCAATAGATGATACGAATGTATGACTTTTTGTCAGAAAAAAAACGGAATGCGGTAAACCCACTGTTAAACTCAATAATCATGGTTTAGAATGGTTGATAATTATTTAATGATCATTAGATAAATTGATTAAAGATATGGTGGACAATTGTGAATCCCATCCCCTATTCATGTAAGTAACTAGTTACAACCCCAATGCTAAATGGTCCCAAATGTGTAAATCACCTACTCAACCATGGTTAAACCATTCATCGATGACCATGCATATAATGGAATAGATTGGGACTATTTTTTCTGAATATCTATAGGTTGTGACATATGAATGTGAATATTGGTCTGTTCGTATTTTATTACTTCTGAAGCTTAGGTTTGTTGGAAGATATTGACATTACTACTGCATTATTTGAAATGAGTGGATATTCTGAATGTTATTCTCCATGGTAGTTTTGAAATTATTGGTGATTCTCAATGTGGTCGTCATCAGGAGTCGGTGTTTAAGATTTTTCAGGGCCCTTGGATTTTTTCCCTTCGTCAGGCGGTGTTGGAGGTCGTCTTTCGCAAGCCCGTTTCCGTCCGAGCCCAGGAACGCTGTCGCCAGGTGTGTCGTTGCAGGTGTACCTGAAATTCACAGAGCCCAAGATTACCCACTTCAGCAGCAATAGATGCCAGAAGGCTTTGAATGATGGTAGTTCTGGTATATAGTTGATTGCAGATTCGACTTCCAATTTATGCGGGATCAGCATTGAAAATCGCTTCCCAGAAAGCTAACCATGACCTGCCCTTTCACTTCACAGCTTGCTTGGTGGCCAAGGTCCAAATGTTGAATCTTCGAATGGGTGGGTCTGCCTGACATGTTGCAGATCCATCAGCGGATTTGCCGACAGTTGTGGATAGGCCTAGGCCGGAGATGGAGACCTTTCGTGGGCTACGGATAGAACCAACAAAGATTTGGCCCACAACCAGCAATTGTACTGATTCTATTTATTTCATATTTCCAGGTGTCCCACTCTATCTATTTTGGATCGCTAAAGCGAAGATAGAACCAGCAAAAGGCGGCCATGTCCAAACCTTCGTTGGTCCTTCGCCAAGCGCAGCATAATTCGGTCCCCGGCCCCGATCGCCTCGGTCGTCGCCATGGGATCGGTGGCCTGGTACACAGCGGCCATGGGCGCGCTACGACAACGCGCGGGGTGGCAAGAAACGCTGCAGTTGATGGAGGAGTTGGAGGTGCCGATGGGTCATCCAATGTCATCCATGGTCCTATAAAAAACTGCCACCGGAAATACCCTCTGGTTATGACTAACAGTTCGCCATGGTATAGATGGCCCATAGAAACAGATGGTTTACCTATTAAACATTGTGATTTTCCATGGCTATGTTAAATAACCAGAGGGTAACAAAAACTCTGAAATGATTGGTAGGTAGATATCGGGGTTTCCGTGGACCTGTTGGTGAACATGTATATTTTGGCAAGAACGGGCACGCAAGACTCACCCGATTGGTATTTTGTCTTCAAAAAAAAAAAATGTTGGAGGGTCTGTGGACTTAGAACGGGGAATGTCTCAAGCACTGGGGTGATGCATGGATGCTGACCTGGGCCAATCTCAAATCAATCTTATGAGCTGGCAGATTTCGGTCACATGCTGTGTACAAACCTGGTTGCTGTCATCTAAGTATCACTCGTCACTTTGGACTTTGCAACCATGGCTCTACGGTAAGTATCACTATGAAGAGTGTTGTGGATGTTGTGGCTGGTCACCATCTTTGTTGGCTGATTCTTTATTTTAGTGATTAGCAATGTGGTGCAATGTTGTGGGTTTGATCCCTACGTTCTTGCCATGTGGTCTTGCTGAGCCCATCCTCATCTTTCTTCTGATCATTTTTAGTAGCCCATATGTAGTCGTTGTAGTTGTTGGTTAATTTGTGACGGCAAGTCACAATCCCCACCCAGCACGCCACCCAGCACTATTCATGATGTAAGTATCAATATTCAAATCACATGGTGCTAAGTCTCAAAGGGAAAAACAATCAGCAACTAAGAATGAATATACTGCTGAAAACTAATTTTCACCTACCACTCATCTTCACAAGATGAATGATATGTTAGATGAATGTTTATCATGATTATTAATCCATAGTAATCACTATGGATCCAAATACTTCCAAGGCATTTAATCCCCTAAATCCCAGATACTCCCTCAGAAGTGCTGGATCCATAGGGAACGATAATCCATGTGCCACCGGATCTCCAAAAAAAAATATAATCTGTGGATCTAGATTCTTATATTCAATGATCCAAACTACCCAGATCAAAAACAACAGTAAGTAATAGCAATATCATGTAATAAAGAGTATATAATCATAATCACAACAAACATAATATGATAATACTAACCAACAATAATAGCGATACTATATTTCATAATCTGGTATAATGTTGGTAAAACAATAGTAAACCACCCATTTGAGAATGTTTTATAGCACCTATTTATGGTGATGACTGAGGGATGCTTTATGGCATTGTTTTACCCACATTATTCCAATTATTAGCCACTATTAACCATTGTTAAACCATTATTAACCGTTATAAACCATTATTAACCACTACTAACCACTACTATATAACCACTACTAACCACTCGTAGAACTCTGGTCCTCGCAAGGCACGTCACCTCGCGGACGTCATCACCTGCACCGCCTGCGTGGGCGTCTTGGGCAAGGTGGCCATGTGGCGAAGGGCCCTGGAGGTGCTCAAAAGGCGCCGGCGATGGTGGATTGGAGCAGATTTGGGGATTTTGATGGTGAATGCCAGGGGATTTTACCAGGAATTATATATATATATTTCCCCACCTGCCAGGTGAGGGTTGCTAGATTTTAACAGAGCTCTTCTCCTCCTCCTCCTCCGCCTCCGCCTCCTCCGCCTCCTCTGCCTCCTCCGCCTCCTCACCCGCCGCCTCCTCCTCGCAGTCCAGATCCCAGTGGGCACAGCCGGACCTCCACCGCGAGCTCCAGATCCCAGTGGGCACTGCCAGATCGCAGTGGGCACTGCCGGACCTCAACCGGGACTTCCAGGTCGCAGTGAGCACTGCCGGACCTCAACCGCGAGCTCCAGATCCCAGATAGAATGCCAGAAGATATGCCAGATGGAATGTCAGATAGAATGCCAGAAGATATGTCAGATAGAATGCCAGAAGATATGCCAGATAGAATGCCAGAAGATATGTCAGATAGAATGCCAGAAGATATGCCAGATAGAATGCCAGAAGATTTGCCAGATAGAATGCCAGAAGATATGCCAGAAGATATGCCAGAACATATGCCAGAAGATATGCCAGATAGAATGCCAGAAGATATGTCAGATAGAAGCCAGAAGATTTGCCAGTAAGAAAATGTATAAATGTCATGGCGGGGATCACACGAAGTAAAGTAATTATATTTATTTATAGTGTGTGAAATTGTAGTAATGTATACTATGTATATGTGTTTTTCGAATTGCAATTGTTGGTCAGAAGACCAGGAAACCATTGGTTTTTCCACATCTATGTAAACATTTACAGGAGGGTACCTGCCTCAAAGATTTAACTTGTATCCCGATTGCAGGACAGATGATCACACCTGACTTTCATGCTGGAGGGGTCGGAGAGGTTCTTTGCAACTGCAGAGAGCTATTTTGTGTTGGGGAGATCAAACCTTCTCACCAGATTGTTGTATGTGCAACTGGTTCCAATGTGTAACATCTCAATGATGTTCATTTGAGTTGTTTGTCATTTGTGTGCCTGCAATCCATTTGGTCTCAGGTGTGGGAGCCTCAAAACCATTCTTTTTTCCTACCAAGACAGGTCATTTGTTCCAGAAGGCACATGGAAGCAAAGTGTCCACTTGGGCTGGTCCTCAAGGGGTTCTCCTATCCATAGGCCATAGGCTCCCCATTCCGTTGAATCCTGCGCAGGTTGGAGAAACAAAGCATTGAAACTTGGTCCAACTATGACACGTTTGATGGTTTCATATGGTTTCTGATGTGGCCTCGGGAACCATTCGCAGGTGTACCGAGCCTGAGCAACCGAAAAGTGTTGTGGCTGTGACCCTGTGTTTTGGGTGGTATGCATGTTTTTTTTTGCAGGAACGATGTTGTGGTTTTTGGGTGCGAGTTTCCGGATAAGACCTATGCTTTGAATCCCCGAGATCACATGTCTGATCTCTGACCTTTGTGTGCCACTACAATAGGAACTGCTAGTGTAGTGCAGGTACTTATAGAAATTAGCAAACCTCTGATCTCTGAGTTTGGTAGGCACTTCAAGTCACAATCACGCTTACCAGTAGCGTTGCTGGATGGGGAAGGTTTCTTGTTCACCGGGGGAAGGCCTCTTCTTTTGTGAATCTCTTTGTAGGAGACTATTTGTTGAGCAGATGATGTTGCCTTGGTCGTGATGTTAGAATCCAGCTAAATCTGGTTGGTGGTTTGGAACATTACTTATTTTTCCATATTATATATGGGATAATCCTTCCCATTGACTAATATTTTTCAAGATGGTTAAAACCACCAACCAGATACGATCAGGAACTTGCAACGCATATTCCGTTTCACCATGGGTACGGGATTTGCCCCACAAGGAACCAGATGTGGTGATCTACAATGCTACGATGAGCGCATGCGAAAGATCTGGTCCCCTGACCAGCAAAAGTCGTTGTGCTATGGGTTTATGCTGAGAAATGATGAGTTTTGCCCAAAAATTGGCAATGTCGGAAAATGAGGAGAAACCACAGGATCCACAGGTTATGTATCCAGTTTTGCAACGCCATGGAGGTGGTGTCCCAGTGTTCTTGATGTCAATAATTATGATGTATGATTATGATGTATCCCAATGATGAAATTATGTAGTAAGTAATCCCAATATCCCATATGTATCCATATGTATCCATATGTATCCATATGTATCCCAACATCCCAATAGCCCACGCATCCAATAGTTGCTCCCAGACTGTTTTGTAACTGCCATCTCACTTCACCAGAGGTGAATGGCAGCAGGCCTTGAGTTGCCTTTGCAACATGCCAGGCGCCACCGATGGAGATTCCAGCGAAGCACGGAGAGTTTGAAGGTCCAGATTTGCTCACGAGAAAAAATTATAGTCCAAGAACTCATGTGACTCATGTTCCTATTGGGAATTGATGATCCCCAATTGACTGATAGTTTGTTCAAAGGACTCAACGAGATATGCCTACGGCAGTCGGCCTCAGAGCCTTAGACTTGAGACGACTGGACGAGGCCATCTTCAAGCAGATGTGGTGTCCTACAACGCCACCATCAGTGCCTGTGAAAAGGGCAACCAGTGGCAAAGTGCCTGGCATTTGTTTCACCAGATTTCCCAGCATCATTTGCAGCCACTGGGACTCGGTTTCCTGGGGATCACTGTGGATTTCTCAAGGCTGCCAGACCTTGGATGCATCCAGTCCGGACCAAGTTCTGCCAGCTGGCTGTAGTTAGCTAACCAGTTAGCTATATCATGCTATGGTACATTCTCTCTTGCCATTTCACCTTCTTGTCTTAGGCAGCTCTCACTGATATGAAATGGTGGACCATGGTGGACCTGAACCGTAGTTAAACCATCCAATGTGTGTGGTTTTGTGTTTTTTTCCCATTGTTTTGATGACTTGTTGAATGGGATCATTGTTTTTCCCATTGTTTTTTTTCCAATTGTTTTTGGTACTGAATCATGCACTTGTTGGATCTATTTCGGTAGGTGCACGGAAACGGCCTGTGACTTCACCGCGGCTCAGGCCTACAATCATCTCCTTCAACGCGTGCATCAGCGCCGCGAAAAGGAACAGGGCGAATCCAAACAACGAAGTTCCTAAGTTTAGATGCATTGGAAGTTTATGGAAGTGTATATAATACTTGTACATATCATTAATCTATTGATATTTACCTCATATATATATCATATCATACATAATCATATATATAATATATATATATACATATTTAATATATATATATATGTATATATATAAGCATATCATATGTTATATATGTACATACTTTGTAGTTCATATAGCTATTACTAAAAAAGGCTATTGATGGGTGAAGATCCTCACTGGGAACGGTTAGTGAATTATGATGAAATTTACCCAGATTTCACCATAAATGATGGTAAATTTCACCATAATTAATGATGATTAATGATGGTTAGTGAATTCACCATACTTCACCATACTTCACCATACTTCACCATACTTCACCATATGGATATGATTCATATGATTCCATGGATCTTTGAATTAGATGTGCAAAGCTAGATGTTATCTATGGATAATCCTGAATGTTGTCTAAAAATATGTTGTGTGTTTCTTTTTGAGAATATGGAATCTTTTGTAGATCTATTAGAATCTATCTTGTGGATCATACGTGTATGATTCTTGCCATCAAGTTCATCAAACCCCAATGGTTTGTTGGACATTTGCATTTTCGTAACTGGATACTGGCTTTCTCGACAGCGTTACCTTGAAAAACTTCTCAGTTTTGCCAGCTTGCCGGTAGAAAAGAACAAATGAACGTTAGTCATGCACTGGGGATGAAGAAACATCGACATCTTTTTGTGTGCCTTATGGCTGTGCAATGTGGAAGTGAGAATCATGTTATCATATTTTGGTTGTTTCAAAAATGGCGCGACACTTTTTGTTCAAGTTTAATTATATTTGTAGACAAGTGCAATAAATATATATATATAGTTGAACTACACTGTACTGTTGAAACCATAATCTACTTCATTATTCACCATAGATATCCATAAGTATCTACAATGGTTGTAGACATATTACAATATTTGTTGGACATATTGTGAGTATATGACTGTTGATATAAGTTGATATATTCACCGTGCATCATGATATTTTGGTTCGTCGATGTCCTTTTCCCACTGGTTGGTTGGTCTCCCATATAACATTAGTAGCAAATGACACTAACTTGTATACCAAATCGCCCCCTACATTTGCTCCAAACGGGCCAAACGGGAGCCTAAGGAGTTAGGGTAATCATATTCCCTATGAAATAGGGAGTCAAGGAGCTACTTAGAGTTTTGCACCACATGATAGTATACGACAATCTATCCTGAAATTTCGGTTAAATCATTGTTGGGTCATAGATTTCATGATTGCCTTCATTATATTCTCATTATATTTACTTTGTTGGTTAATGTTGGTTATCCTGATCATATTCATTCATATTCCCATATTTCATGATGAGCTTCATGATGAGCTTCACTATGAATTAACTATAAATTCACTATAAATTCACTATGTCGGTTATATTACACTATATATTGGTTATATACGTGCTTCTATCTTCTTGTTGATTCTCCTGATATTTCCGTTGAAATATGTTGAAATCCCAGATGATCACCACGATCACAGGTGCCTGCGGCAAGGGAAAGCAGTGGCACTTCGCATTGCATCTTTTGTCAGAGATGCAACGGAGCCGCCGAGGCGAGGCTTGGCTTTTTTTGCGGAAGATGCTGCATCCATATATATATATTATTATGTTTATTCATAGTATATATAGACATTAATGATTCATTTATGTAGTTATTTTTTTGATATGCACATACATACATACATACATACATACATACATACATACATACATACATACATACATACATACATACATACATACATACATACATACATACATAAATACATACATACATACATACATACATACATACATAAATACATACATACATACATACATACATATATATATATAAATACAGACACACACACATATATATATATATATATACACAAATCAGCAACAATCATGGGGGTATGATGGAAGTTATAGCCAGCTTGATATGCCTAAATCCTGGAATCCACAGATTCATCACTATTTTCACCCTTAAATGTCCATTTAATTTGAGGATATCCGCCATTTCCAATCACATTCATATCCATTATCCAATGATGTCCACGTAAAATAGTTGATCATAGCTTGCTGTATTTTCAATGATTTCCACATGAAAATAGCTTGGATGTTTAAATGGGGTGACGGATCTCTTTGGTGGATCTACGACTCATCTTTTTTGGGGCTTCCCCACTTAGCTCCCCATGAATATCCTCTGGTAATTTTCTACATAGCTATTGAAAACGGCCCAACTATGGTTGATTTACCTATAAAAAATGGTGATTTTCACTATTTATGTTAGATTACCAGAGGATGGCCTTCTTATCTTTTTATACCACCATTTTTTCCGGACCAGGCAACGAAGTCTCCTTCGCCTCGGCCTGCGACGCCTGCGCGCGCAGCAGCCAGTGGCAACAGGCACTGATCTCTGCGGCTGGGCGTGGGGTGGTGGCGCAAAGTGCTGCGGTGAGCGCCTGCGAAAAGATGGGGAAGTGGTGGCTTGGCGATTTGGAGAGCCGTGAGTGGCGATTTGGGACGCGATGTCATTTTCTGACATCGGGATCTGGGAAAAATCCATGGAAACATGGAGATGAAATGGGGATGAAAATCATGGCGGGGAAATCGTGGCTGCGAGACATTTTACCCCAGTTGGTCGATGAGTTTGGGGAATACACCAACCAATATCAACCAATTATATTGAGGAATATCACAATCCATGAACGGAATCCTGTCCTCAACCAACCAGTGTAACACAGGATTTTGAACACTGTTCATTTGGAGAACAGTGGAGATAGGCAAGAAAGATAAGGAACGATGGGGACATCTGTAAGACTTGTGATGTTCAGCAACAAAAATCTTGGGATGTACACATCAATCAATGGGGATATATATATATATTAAATATATATATATATAATATCAAGAACTGAATATAGGGATATGATAGGGGAAAACCCAACGCCATTCAATTTGTCAGCCTTGGATTTGTGGGTCACAGCCGCCCACCATTACTCATGAGATGATCATTGACCCCTTGGTTATTTGAAAAGATGGCTGTGAAAAACCACCAGTTGGAATAGGAAAACCATGGAACACCATAATATTTTATGTTGGTAAAACAATGCCATTTGCACCATCTCCCAGTCATCACCATAAATAGATAGGTGGTATGTTTTTGCCATTCCCAGTCATGGTTGGTTTATTATTGGTTTACCTACATTACAACTTGGGTATTTTTCTTGTCTATCTTGGTTTACCAGAGGATTGGAGCTCCAGGAGCTCCGCTCCCCACTAAACGGACGGACATCGTTTCGGAATCAGATCCTGACCGTCAGGTTTCATGACCTAAAAACGCGAAGCTAGATGAAGTGGACATCCATCATAACCACCGGTCATCAAGCAATCAATCATGGCTAGCTGGGAAATTCCCTATATAAATCAAGGCTAGCCAATGGGAAAATAGCCAAACAAAAACATGGGGGGGGGGGGGATTTTCTGCTGCCATGTTTGATTGCCAACCCGTTGGCTGATCATTTTCACGGCTTTTCCATCAGCCTGGATCAATGTTTACAAAGATGTTATTGTAGTGCAAATAACTCTTCATGGGGTAAATCCAAAAGAGTGTAAATGGAAGTTCCGTAAATTTGGGATCCCCAATAGCTGGTTGGTTTATAATGGATCCTACTAAAATTGATGATTTAGGGGTACTTCCATTTCAGGAAACCTCCAAATGATCATAGAATCATAGAGTAAAGACTCTATTGAAATCTTGAAAAGATGGAGTCCATGCCCATGTTTGACCTGGGAACCCAGGTAAATCAAATAGATCATTAGATTGACCATGTCAAAACAATCGATGGTAAACATCCATATTTTTGATATCAGATAAATGTTCTTAAACATCTTAACTAAGTGGATTTGCCTGGTTTACCCATGTCAAAATTTACAGTAATTCCAAAAATTGTCTGCCAGACTAGGATGATGGAACATTTACGGGAAACCCATATAGTCAGTGGTGTTTTACCATGCTTTGCTGCAACTTTTCCGTTAAAACCATCCAAATTTTCGGTGTGGCGTGTTGCCACCAGGCAACACGCCATCCTGCTACTGTCGGATCTGCGGCAGCGCCATCTCAAGCTGGATTGCGTGATCTACGGAGCAGTTCGGCTTGATGAATCAGCCAGAAATAGGGGATATCATGGGGCCATATAGCAAGCATTAACAACGTTGTATGGGATACTGGTTGGTGGTGACTGGAACCATGGAATTTTATGACTTTCCAAATATATTGGGAATGTCATCATCTCAACTGACTTGAACTCCATGATTTTTCAGAGGGGTAGGTATACCACCAACCAGGATATTTCAGGTTGGTGAGTGAATTGCTATAATTCAGCCAGATAAAATAGAAGCAATATGACATCCATTGATGCTGATGAACGGATGTGACTGTGGTACTGTAAGTACTGTATTGATGGATATGGATGGATCTATTGATCTATACTGGAAGTGATAGTATATTTAGGATTATTTAGGATTATTTGGGTGTATACCCCATTTTCAGACAAGCCCCACATTCTTATCATTCTGTGAGGATGGAAAGCATGAGCAAATCATTGCTGATCATATCCCCAATCCCATCCGATCTCTGAAATTCCCGTGGTGCGTGTTGAGTGCCTGGCCCAAAATTGTGAAATACTCAGATCTAATCATTTCCCTGAAAGAAATTCCCAGGTTTTGATGGTTTACCGCCACCAAAATTGGAGATGTTGAGATGTTGGTTTGATGGTTTTGCCATATGGGTTCCATCCTGAATGTCATGGGGTTCCATATCTCTGTTTTTGGCCAAGGCAGCCATTAGTTGTTGCGAGAAGGCGCAACAATGGCAGCGAGCACTGGTTCTGATGGAGGCAAAAAGGGTGACACACCGAAAATCGGTTGTACGATCCAAAAAACCGATGGTCGAATCCCATGGGTAGCATGGGTAGCCCAGGGAAAGGATCTTGATCGCGTGTTTTTTTTTTCCAGCTTTGTCCTCACGTTTTATGCTATGCCACCGGTGTGCTTTTAAGAATGTTGGCCCCGGAGAGAAAAACACGGCATATCGGTAGCTTCCAGTGGGCTCGGGGTGCTGGAATCTAAACAAAATGATGCGCATGCATTGAAACCTTGTTGACTTGCACCAGCAGAAAACGTTTGATCGGGAAAAATCTGGGTCATTATGATTATTATTCAACCCTTTTGGGTAAGATGAAAGGCGCAAGCTTTGCCCGAACATTGTGTCTCTTTTGAAGTTTGCATACTAGCATACTGAAAGGTCACTGGGGGAAATTTAGATAAATTTAGACCCTCAGTTCAAGGTATCCACATGTATCCACTTCAACAGCCTCAACAGCCTCAACAGCAACAGCCCATTTGGCGCAGGAAATCGACGGCTCCATAGATCTTGACCTGGTGACGATGAACGCCGCCATGAGTGCCACTGATATCCACTGATTCAGAGGTGTAACGGTGTAACCCAACGTGACAAACAAGTCGGTAGGCCTGGGAAATGGAATGGAAATGGTACCCCAAACCGACCTCGCCGACACATTTTCAATGTTCCAAACTTTCCAAACCTCCCAAGTATCGGAATGATATGGGAACAAATCACTTCTGGACACGATTTTTCTCCATGTTTTTCCAATCTCAGGACATCAAAAACTGATGATATTTGATGGCATCTAGGTGAATTATTGCTCTTGTATACCCTCTGGTAATTTAACATAGCTATTGAAAATGGCCATTTATAGTGGATTTTCCCATAAAAAATGGTGATTTTCCATAGTTATGTTAGTTTACCAGAGGGTAATCCAGAAACCAATCCCAGTAAGTCCATGCAAACTCGCCAAGCCTCACCGCTGGCGACGCTACAGCGAGTCCCAGGTGCCTGTAGCAGCAGTGCCCAGTGGCATGCGACTGTCACACTCTTCCAGCGACTGGGAGACAGAGATGCTTGGCGATAGAGAGATTTTAGATGATTTTAGCACCCAAAAGGATCCAAAAACAATAATTGGATGATCATTCATGGTAATTCTGTAGTTTTAGAAAATGTTTTTTTTTATTGTTTGAGAAATCCTGGAAATTTTGCTTGCCACGGATTTTTTGCCTTTCGGATTTGATGCAATGAAACAGTTTGACCTGTTTGAACGATATGTAGTGTCGTATTGTGGTGGGTCGAGACCACCTCAGAGTTGTGAAGATCCCTCCAAAAAAAGCTTGTATACCCTGAAAGTCATTCGTGACTCATGGATTAGTAGTATAGTATAGTGACTAGTGATAATCAACAATTAAATTAATCAAGCATTGGGATCTTCTGGGACGTGGCCAGTTATGGATCAGTTCGTCCTTGTCGCGAGTCTTTTGGAACTCGTGGCCCGCCAGCCTTTGTGGATGGATTGCCTAAGGACCTGGAAGCAGATGTGATCAGCTACAGTGCAGTGATCAGCAGTTGTGAATTCTTTCATTGGCAATGGGTGTTTTGGCATGATGAAAAGAGTCGGATTCAGAAACTGGACGTGACCGTCTTGGCATGTCTTGATCCCAAAGAAATTTTAAAAAAATCAACAACAGTTGGGACACCAGCAACAATCCAGTTGGTTTTGGAATCCATAAACATGGGAGATTAACCATCAAGATTCAAGTCTTTCTATGTCTTGTTCAACTTGAGGCATCTAAGATGGGAATTTTCCGATTTATTTCGAATGAAACCTCGGGAGTCGAGAGAAACCTCCAGCGGCTTACCAGATAAAAATGGGGTTTCCTAAATGGGGGGAAGCCTAAAATGGATGGTTTCGAAACGGGAAAGTCCTATTAAAATTTGGAGGATTTAGGGGTGCCACCACCACCATTTATGGGAACCCCCATATACCAGCGATTTGCTAGCGGGGGATTTTGCGATGCCTTTGGGAGGTAGCTACTCTCAGAAAAGTCTGCTACACAGGAGTTTTCCGCCATGTCCACAGGTAAGTACCTTTACCTCCAGTAAACATGCAAAAAACTACGGACATCCTTTTTTTTTCCTTGGAAGGTCTACCTTCGTGGTGGATATAGATAAACGGTGATAAACGTTTACAGCTGCATTTGTTCCACAATGAATTTCAGCCAACATATGCCATCCTTGAGCCAACTTGGCAGATGACTCCTTGAATTGTTGCCGCAAAGGCAAGGGGAGTTTATCCAATTGCGTCCCATGCTTAAATTGATCGACTCTCTGGTAATGTAAGAATTTGCCTGAAAAAATGATCGAAAAATTGATCGAAAATTGACATGGAATTCATAGGCAAAGCATCTAAGGGCTAATTTTCCAGTTCTATGTAGAGTTACCAGAGAGAATGACCCAGTGACAGTCGTTGTCATTTGGGCCATTGGACATCCATTCTATCCTGGATATCAGGTGCTCGTGCTGATCCATCGACAGCGTAGATGTTCTAAAATCCCACGATTGTCGTCATGGCACAGTGACAATGAATAGATATAAATAGATGAATACATATAATACACAGTGATAAATGATGCTACTATGTATCATAATGATACAGTGATAATTAATGAATCGTAGACCACACCGGCCCTTTTTTTGTTTCCTTCTGGACATTGATCAACAGAGCCATTTTTTTCGTCCCACTGAGCCTTGAGGCGTTGAGCTTCCTGGATGAGGCCCTTGCACGTCTCATCCAACTGGATGTGTAGCTTGCAGGGGAATGCCATGGGAAGAAATGGCAGACATGCAGAAACTGATTCCAAGATATTCCAAGCATTTCCCACGCACTGAATGGCTTTCTGATTGCTGGTTTTATTGATGTTTAGATTTCCATCGAAATGGGAGGATGATCACGACAATCAATAAGCCGCATGACTTTTCGAGGGAGTCCGTGAAATCAGGTGAGATACTGCGTAGATCTGCGTATTTTTCGGATGATGATCTGAACTTCACCAGGGGGGTTGTCAGATGTCAGGGCATGTGGGGCCCCGACTCAAAGTGCTTCAAAATGGTCGGCCCCCAAACATCTCCAACTTGGTGGGTGTATTGATGCCCAATTTTTGAGGCCATATTGCACTCATATTGCATCATACCGGTATCACAAGCATGAAACGACGGAATCAACTCCACTTGATCAACTCACGTCCAGCATGTTCCAGCCCTGAAAGCGAAAAAAGACTCGAAAAAAGGGGGGAATGGTTGATGGCTTCCCTATGTTTCCCTCATTGGATGGCTTGTAAATGTTTTTAAGTCCCTGTTGAATTCAGGGCCGCTCTCAGGATCGCCTACGCTTCCGCCATCACCGCCTGCGCGAGAGGTACCCGGTACAGATGGGTGGTGTCAGTAGGAAAATGGGAGAATGAGAATAGGCACCAGGCGTATCCGTCCATGATTTTTGGGCAGATACGACATATGACATATCTGACATATCTGACATATCTGACATATCCATGAAATTCTATCAGTATCATTCAATATCATTCAATATACTATTCAATATATCATAATATATCTATTAGTGCGACATCGTATCCGTCCATCCCTATGTTTCAATCCTATCCTTTTTTGTTGCCGGATCAATCGGATCAATCCCCTAGGTTAACCACGTGGTTTTCTGCCAGGTGCCCAGTGGCCGCAAGCGGTGCAGCTCTTCGGCAGCAGCCGGCGAGCTGCCAAGATGGTGAACGACGTGGCCGTGGACATGGCCATCCGTGCCTGCGAGAAATCCAAAAAGGGGAAGCTGGAGCTGGTCTTAGAACTTCTTCAGGAACTTCAGGTCTCTTGGATCATGTGGATCATTTGGATAAAGTGGGATGAAGAAAAATAAAAACACATCTCTGTTGTTTTTTTGTTTTTTAGAGGTTGGAGATGGGGGCTACTGTTTAGCCACACTATATATACTGTATATATATAATACGTATGTGTTATATATATATATATGTTATATGTTATATATATATATATATGTTATATATATATATATTATATACATTATATTACATTATATTACATTATATTATATTATATTATATTATATTATATATATAGTATATATATTTTTTATTATATTATATTATATTATATTCTATTATATTCTATTATATTATATTATATTATATTATATATAATATATACTATATATATTATTATCAGAAAGGACTGTTGTGGCCGCCCAAATCTCACACTTAATATGTATACAGAATACTTCTTGTGAGATTTGGGTGTCACAACATTCCCTTCCGATAACTTGTGTTCTTGTGAGATTTGGGTGTCACAACATTCCCTTCCGATAACTTGTGTGTTGATATCTGTTCAAGCCCCAAGGATTAATCTGGTTTAATCTGGGACCAAAAAAAACAAAAAAAACAAAAAAAACAAAAAAACAAAAAAAACAAAAAAAAACAATGTTTTCAGGACTACTTGGATCAGGGCTATCTTTAGACTAGTCTCCAAAACATTGTTTTTTTTTTTTTGTTTGTTTTTTTTGGTCCCAGATTAATCCAGATTAATCCAAGCTAATCTACGATCATCAGATCTATTTAACATTTAAGTACTAACATGTGGTTGGCTAATTTTCTATATTCTCTGGTCATCTGCCTTTATTGGCTTTTAGCGCCGCTCTCTCTGTGTCTGGACTACTGAAGCAAGTTAATCTAAGATCATCAGATCTATTTAACTACTAATTTCCAACATGTGGTTAGCTAATTTTCTATATTCCCTGCTCATCCATCAAATATAGGCCATGTCGTTTGAATCCACAAGTAAGCATTAGCACATGGAAGTTTCCTCAAGTAAGGATCCATCAAATATATACCATATTGTTTGAATCCACAAGTAAAGATTGGCACATAGAAGTTTCTTCAATTAAGGATCCATCAAGTGACCCTCCAAACAAAGCCTGAGTACTTTATGCCAGGCGCAGGTTCATGTAAAGATCATATCATTGTCTTTTTACCATTTTGGGACCAAGCATCCATAACATTTGAAACATGCTTCTTTGTTGCAGGCAAAAACCTGGGGATACTTGAAACAGTTTTGGATTTTCCATATACATTTTTCCAATAGTAGCTAGCACTTCAATCTCTATATGTTCACTGACAGTTTCCTCCAAAGATTCTTACTTGAGATTTACATGTGATGCTCTTGGATCTGTACAAATGCTTACTTGTGAATACAAAGAAGTTTATTGTTTTGTTTAAAACCTCTTGACTTGAGATTTACATGTGATGTTCTTGGACCTGTACAGATGTTTACTTGTGAACACAAACAGAAACTTGTATTGTCCTGCCTAAAACATCCTTACTTGAGATTTACATGTGATGTTCTTGGATTTTTGTGGTATATTAGAGCATCTTTACTTGAGATTTACATGTGTAGGGGATGATCCTGGGCCTGTACAGATGTTTCCTTGTGAGCCAAAAGAATCTTTTATGGTTCCTTGAAACCTCTTTACTTGAGATTTACATATGATGATCTTGGATCTTTAGAGATGCTTACTTACTTGTGAACAGAAATAACCTTTTATGATTCTTCAAATCATTTTTGTAAACAAGTGCACTGGGCCTTTGCACTTGCAATTGTTTCAAAGTTTTGGGAAAGGAAACAAGTTGCTGGCATTGCCAGTTTTGATTGCATCACACTATGAATTTTATATGCCCATATTGGTGTCCAAAGGTTTGGGAATCAGTGGAATCAAGTCCAAATGTATAATCAAAATCCTTAAAAACCACATGTCAGCCCTTGAATTTTCATATAAAATTTATATGTATGCAGTTTATATGCAGTTTATATGCAGTTTATATGCAGTTTCAAAACTACATGTAGTTTATATGCAGTTTTGACCAAACTACATGTAGTTTATATGCAGTTTTGAAAACTGCATATAAACTGCATATAAACTACATATAAACTGCATATAAACTGCATACCAAAAATCTACAGATTTTGAATGATTTTGACATGCCTGGAAAGCTGAAAGCTTGAGATTTTGAACTGCTGCTGCAAGAAAATTTGTGATTTTCAAGGATGACAACTTAGAAAGAAAAAGTATATATACACATGCAAGACCTTTTAGGCAGACCACTAACTGAACCAAAGATACTTTGATGAAATGAACCTGAGGGCCATTGCTGCTAAAGTTTCAGATCCTTTTCAAAACTTGGTAAAGGCTGCAAATAATGTTTCTCACGACATAATTTCATATGTGTCCCATGACATTTGTCAAGACTGCCTGGAACTTACCAAATAAAATTGCAAGACATTTGGCTAAACAATGGTTCAAGAGTTATTCATGACTTTTTTGTGTAGGTTTCCCAGTGAAATAGTTCATGGTTAATTAAAAACTTGACAACAATAGTTAAAAAAGAGGCGGCCACAACAGTCCCCTCCCATTATTATATATTATATGTTATATATTATATATTATATATTTTATATTATATATAATATATTATATATTATATATAATATATTATATATTATATATTATATATATATGTAATAGTAGATACATTTATATACTGGCATGGATTTGCTGAAATGACGAAGGGGTGACCTCATCTGGCTGGCCAGATTCAGCTTACCCAAAGAAGCTGCAGATTGGGGGATGATTTCAGACTATTTTCAATGTTTTGGCACGGGTTCCTTCCTCAATGTTCCCCTTGTTTTTGTTTTCAAGTCAAGTCATGGCCAAGATCCGTTTCGACCATCGGACCACACATCAGCGACGAAGTTGAACCGTTTCTGTTCCTGTCTTTGTGCATTCAAAGCATTTGATTGGGGCATAGAAGGTTTTTCCTATTTCCAAGATACAAACCAGGCCTTCAATCTGCAGATTGATAAAACCCTGGTTGATTATATGACAAAGAGATACTAAGAGAATTTCTCCAAAAACTGATACCTTGTTATATCTTCTGTTCAAGGCTTGGTACCCCCAAACCAACCGGGGGGTCGGATATCTGAGTCTTTCCAAGGAGGATGCCTTGAAGAATCCTCGCTGTGGTCTTGTGACATTTGCTGCCAAAAAAGCTGGGCTGGTTGGAAACATGTTGGAACATTGTAGCTATGTGGTTAAGTTATAAGTTTCAACAAAATTTCAACCAGGTTGGAAACATGTGTTGGAAACATCCAGTTTGATCATTGTTGGTTTCAAGTTTTGTTTCTCTTTGTCCACTTCTCAGAGGATCAAACCAGATAAAAAACTTGATTCCTTGAGGTGATCCGATGACATTCCGTGGCGTGCGACATCAATGGGCCCAAATCAGGAGTCGAATTCAGGACATTTCTCGTAGGTCTGTTAGGTATATTGTAGGTATATGGATAGTTTCTCAGGCTTTGAAACTTTGGGATCGACACGAGACATAGGTTAAATAGGGTGAAAAAAATGGGTGAACATGCTCCCTGCACGGTTCCATGCCGACGACCAAGCTGCACTGGAGTCTTGGCCATTCCGTGCCAGCACATTCACGATCCTTCATGATCGATCGATCAATCGAGTGATCGATCACTGCGTAAATCCGTCATTAACATCAAGATCATCATCATCATCATCATCATCATCATTATTCATCATGATTCATCATGATTCATCATGATTCATCATGATTCATCATTATTCATCATTATTCATCATTATTCATCATTATTCATCATTATTCATCATTATTCATCATTCTTCATCATTCTTCATCATTCTTCATCATTATTCATCATTCTTCTTCATTCTTCATCATTCTTCATCATTATTCATCATGTTTCATCATTCATCATCATTCATCATCATTCATCATCATCATCATCATCACCACTATTCATCATTCTTCATTATTATTCATCATGTTTCATCATTCTTCATCATTAATCATCATTCTTCATCAATCATCATCATCATCGTCATCATCATCATCATCATCAGCACCACCACCACCACCATCATCAGCATCATCATCATCATCATCATCATCATGAGTGTCATGTGTATCCTGAGTATCTCAAGTATCATGATGATTCGAATGAGTATGACTTTGCCAGGTTTTTACGCCCCGCTGCGAAGAACAAGAAGAAGCAACTTGGCCCAGCAGCAAGTCAGCTGGAGATGGCATGAAATATATGTGGCCCAGGTAGATTGTGTAGGAAGTCGTTTCTGTATAATATGCGTATCTATCCATCTATATAATCTCTATATATATATATGTATATATCTCAGAGAAACAAAGGTATTACTGTATGTGTATTACTGTATGTGTATGTATACATATATGTATCCTTATATACATGTATATAGCTGTGTGGATATATATATATATATAACTATATATAATATATAACTATATATAAGATAATATATATATATATAGAACTATATAATATATATATATAGCTAGTTTTTTCAGCCTTTCAAGTCCTGAAGAAAATCCATGGGGCGTTGCTTTGGCCATCTGTGTCGGTGACGTCTCTTGTCGGTCATCAAATCCCCAGATTCGATCCCGTACAGAATCGATACCCGGCCTGGTAAACATAGAAAAAACTATTAAAAATGATTAATGTATGGATAATATATGGATAATCTATGGTTAATAATGGTTACCCTCTGGTAAACATACAAAAAGCTATTGAACATGGCCCATTTATAGTTGAATTACCCATAAAAAATGGGTGGATCTTTCTTTCCATAGTTTTTTGTAAACGTTTACCGGAGGGTAAATCCTGATTTCATTGCGTTCAGATCAGGTGAAATCCCGATACGGCTGCGCGAAAAATCGCGAAAGCCCTCATTGGCTCATCGTGAAATCCATTATGAAATCCATGTTCTCCTCATAAATCCCTGTCGAAGATTGATGTTAAGGTTCTGACTTGAATTCCCCTTTCATCATTTTTCTTTCCATCCGATATTGAGGTCACAATTCACAATTTCTTCGTAGTCAAACTAGCATTGCCCCAAGTTGTCTTGTCTAGGTATATCCTGGATAAATGTCCACACATCTTCATAAATCTCAGTAGAAACAAATTCCATTTGTTCATAGAATATCTCCATTTCTATAGAGAATGTTCCAATTTTCTGCGTAAAAACACTCCATTTCTATAGGCCGAATGTTCCATTTCCTCACGTGTTCACTGCCCAGGCCCGAATTGGCCGATCCCGACTTTGATTTCGTGCCGCTCCCAGATCTGAAAAAAGGATCCAGTGGAATGAACAAATGACTTGAGAACAGCACTTCTACTAATAAGGCTTATTGGGCGAGTGTCATGCCATGGCTTAGAAATTGGAAAAAAAACAAACGAAATTTGACCTAGGGACATACATCTGTTAATAAGGCTTAACAAGGTAAGTTGATTTTGTATGTCTGAAGACTGAGAAAACCATATGAAAATTGTGTGAAATTGGCATAGCGCTTAATAAGGCTTAATAAGGGACTTGCCTTTTGGAGGAAATCATACCCAGAAAGTCATGTCGATCCTCTTAGCTGCAGAACAGAAAATCCACTGTTCACATGATGGTTTTGGCACATTTGTTATTAAGCCTTAATAATGGTTTGGCTCTGGGTTCGCACTATTCACCCCTTCTTTCCCTCTAGTAAGCTGTGCATACGCAAGATCTGTTAATAAGAGATTTTGATGTAGATTGTTTTGCTGGGGCTCTTTTGCCGGGCTCCCCTAGCAAAATTATGACATTGGGTAAACCAATGGTTTTCCAATGGGTAAACCAATGGTTTGTTGATTCTGGTAAATTTCCGAATGAACAAACCATTGGTTTACTGTCTATCTGTCGAATTACTGTCCTAATCCACTGAAAGCCCAACGATGTTGGGTTTTCGTCTAAGATATTACCACATTGACCAAGATATTTGGTGTTCTATTATGTTCTATTGGGTTTTGCTTATGGCAAACCCAACAATAGACCTCAAATATTCAATGGTTAATACAAATCCATGTTCAGTGATATTGGGATGGTTCATTGTTGGGCTTACCACATTCTGCGGAACAACACTTGTCCCAAAAGTTTGCAGGATAATGAGGAAGCAATATTCAAATAGTTACTTCTCAAAAGTCACTTGTCCAAAGCAAATTGTTTCTTTCATAACATTTATGATATGTTTTATTTATACACACATAAATCTTGGGGCGGTCTAACAAGCGGATAGATCATGATTGATAGAATGTAGCGTCAGTTTGTAATATCGGACTTCATGTCCTCTTGTTGCATGTGAGAACACGGGAATTTTATGGGTTCATATGGGATAGCATGGGATTATTGTGGATCATGTGTGGCTTTGGATATGGGATCAATGTGGGAGAAATGGATGATGGTGAGGTTAGGCTATGGATGGCTATGGCACTATGGCTTTTGTCATGATCCTTGAATTCCCTTTGTTAGATCCTCTTAGGTTGCCAGGCCGCCATGTAGATGACATGTCTCATGTTCAAGAATGATACCCTCTGGTTATGTAACATAGCCATGGAAAATGGCCCATTTATAGATGGTTTACCTATTAAAAATGGAAATTTTCCATGGCTATGTTAAATAACCAGATGGTAATATTAATGATCTTTTTGTGCCCACAGAACCGGCCAAAAAAAACAGAACCAGTACCCCTTGCTTCCAATGATTCAACCCACGGCCCTGTTTCGAATTATCAAAGTCCACCATCAACAGACTCATGCAACACGGCCGGTGAGCAGCTGTCGCTATCCCGCAGTGAATGGGCTATAAAATCAGTAGCCCAAACTATCCCAAGCTGTTGCTCACTAGAATGATCTATCAGTTCAATTGCTGCAATCCCAGGTTGTCATTTTCCCTTCAAAAGTTATGCCTTAAAATGAGATAAAATGAGAGGTACTGGCCACAACTGGCCACAACTTTGACTGGTGCCCAGGTGTTTCCAAACGCGGAGCTTTCGGTCGGTCGCGCAAGAACAGGTCCGCGTCACCGGGGTCCTTGGGTCATGCACAGCGAAAAACCCACTCTATGCGGCTGGGAAATCCTCTATAAATAGAGGTTTAGTTCGCGAAAATCATCGAACTATGGGAGATTTCCAATTGCTCTGCTGGAGGGGTACCTCACTCTGGACTTTTACACATCTCAAAGCTCAGTCATCTGGATTTTGGTCAACTCTCCATCTTCATTGGGGGCAACAAATCCCTTTTTTTGTGATGAAATCCTGATTTTTCTCCTTGGTAAATGATCATTTTTCAGGTGAAGCCTAAGGCTACAGTACTTGTTTTTCCCCAATTTCTGTGCCAAAGAAATTTTCCCCAATTCATCGTTACCCTCCGATAATTTCAATTAATATCCATAGAAAATAAGGCCCATTGATTCCATTGATCTGGAGATTTCCATCAATGGGGAGATCCCCAATATGGTTGGTTTATCAATGGATGGTTAAATGGGGGAACCCCATTTCAGGAAACCTCCATTGATCTCTTGAAACTGGCGATTTTCCATCGCAAACGAAGTCCTAGAAACTCCAGGCGCGGTGGTGGCCCCCACCACCGGCTTGCGTGGCAAGTTGGCGCTGCCGGCGCTGCTCGGTGATGAAGGGAAGTGGATGCCGAAGCCGAGGAATCGAACAATACATGGAGGTTGATTGGGATTTAGCTTGATTCAGCCAGAGTTGATCTCCAGATCTATCAAGCTAAATCAAGTGAAATCTCCATGATGCGGGAAAGGATCTAACATGATCTAAGCATGAAATTGGGATTTAGCTTGATTCAGCCATGAAAAATACTGATTTAACCATCGATTGATCTGGATATACACCGACTAGGAAGAAGAATTTGGATTTAAGCATAAATGAACAATGATTTGCGAGTTTGACATGATAGGAAAACCTAGGTCAATCTTGGTCAGGGTAACTATTCACAAGTTGCTTCTTTCAGATTTGATAGGGATACAGTATATACCAACCAGACAAAATCATGTGTGATGTCTTTTTGTCTCTGGGGTATCCTAGATGCATCTTTGATTGGCCATGTAGCCATCTATATTAATGTATTATGTGGATTTGCCCAACATATTCTTGGATTCTAAATATGTAAACTAAAATGTGCATATATGGGGATCAAACAAGCAAGAAAGATCACATAGTGTTGTCTGGCCAACGGTAAAAAAATCTGCCCTTACGACGCTTTGTTGATGCTGGACAACGGATAAGGGTTAACTACTGGTCAGATGGACCACACTCGGGTGTACTGAGGAAGGGTTTTTGCAGCGTCTACGAGTCTCTTGGATTCCGGCTGTTCATGGCAGTGATTTAAGTCATGACAAACTCAGGGCTGAACCAAGCCCCGTGGACAGAATGGTTCATGGCCTACCACGGGGGTGTTTGGGGCTACCAGGGTTGGGATCATTGTGATACCCCGAGGGCCGTTGGGGTTCCGTCCGGGTCTGAAATGGCCACGTTTCTCCGGTCAGACATGGGCGCGAAATTGAGCAAAATCAGCTCTTTCCAGTCTGAAACGTCTCCAAAGTGCAATTTTTGAGTCAGAACCAGTCAAAACCATTCGCAACCCATCTCCAGTCGGAAATCCAAGCCAAATCATCAAACAAAATGGAGCCAACCTATCCTACCACATCTTACCTTTTCCTTTTCCCTGAGGCCGTTGACCAACTTTTCAGGGCGGGAGGTGCCAATCTTCGCCGACATCTAGAAGCCACGGAAGCCAGGATTTTTTCCAGGGAAAAACCCGATGGTTTCAAGGGAAAAAAACTAAAAATACTATTACTGTATACTTCATGGTTAAAATATAAACATTGGTTCCTGGAGAGTATATTGTTCATTATTGTTCTCCTAAAAAGTGTTGGAGATCTATGGAAGACCAAGCTCGGCGAGCTGCTCGGCTTGATTGGTGTCAAATATTTGCTGTTGAAACAACGTGTGAAGATGATCCCAATGGACTCTCAGATGTGGTATTTTATGTTAGGCTGATGGGTTGAAACTACAACGCAATTCTGTTTGGCCTCGGTCTCGCTCGAAGGGTTACCATAGGACGCAATCTGGCATCACGTAGCATCACCTAGCCAGGTCTTTTGGCGATCCCCCACCAGTCGTCCTGCAGCGAATGTGGAGTGTGTCAAGGTAGGACGGGATGGAGCCGGGGTGCGTCAAATCATGTTTACCTGGCTCAAGGGTACCATTTTTTTCAGGAAACGATGGAGTTTTACCCACCAAATCTAGCCCCTGTAAAGGGGTTGGGGATATTGCCGGCCCGAATGTGGCCTATGGCATCCTCTGGCTATGTCAAAAATGTAGGTTTGTCTCTATCCCGAAGCCTGGATGATCCCAGTTGACAAATAGATTTGGGGATGGCTGGAGACCACCCAGGGACCCACGATGATCCTCAACACTCTGATCTTAAAGCCCGGAGCTATTGTGGCCCGGTGCGCTACCGAAGATCCATGGTAGGAAATTGTCCATATGGCCCCATGCGCCCTGACCCCTGAGGTCACTTTGTTGGAAGCACCAAAGAGTAGTGTCATCATCCGCACCATCCGAGTGAGGCGGACGACACAACTCTCAGCAACTCATCCCCGATCTATGGCCATTTAACTGATGAACCATGATGAGCCAGCCGATTTTAGGTGCCTAAAGATTCAACTAACATGGTCCCGGAGCTGACCCATCCCTACATTTTTCAGAACTCTTGAGTGTTGCCGCGGATTCCAGTGAATTCTAAAGTTTGATGTGGACTCCAATGAAAATGGTCGAGTGATTGGTGATTTCAGTAATGTTTTTTATCGTTTCCATGCTGACAAGTAGCAATGATGATCCCAGTTTTGAATATTTTATTCAGGGCTAACTGCACCAAGCAGTTGATGGAAGATCCTAGCTGATGGTCATGACATCTCCTAGTGGAGAGTGTTGGGGGTGCATCAGATAGGCATCCTCTGAAGTCAGCTCCCGTTTCGCTGTTTCGGTGACCTGGGTACATTGGCTCCGATTCTCAGAGCGTGTTAAAGTCCACGGTCGTTTTTCTTTCTGATCTCCTTCTGTTTTGTAATTCCAATTGATTGGAGACATCCAATTCCTGTTTGACTCTCTATTTTTAGCTACGTGAATCTCTATTTGTCGGTCATGTCCTCTCGATTCAATCCTATTTCTTGACGGTCGAACAAAATATATATATATTTTAATCATTCTTAATCAACTTCCAACTTTGTTGGTAAATTCACCATGTTTGCTGGTTAATTCATGTTTTTCTTGCTGATTTAAATCCAAACTGTTCTACTTCAGTCATAATTTTTGGTCCTATTGGAAACACGTTTGTTCTGATTAACTTTCAGGTTTTATTTGTTACCCTTTGCTGACAAAAAATTGTATTGAACCTTGTGATGTTCCAGTTCGCAAAGTGTTAGTTTACCAGGGGGTGAAATCATATATCCCATGATATCCCCACTTTCCCATGATAGTTGGGTAAATCCTCGCGAATGTCCCATTTTTCTTATTGGTTGCACTACTTTTTTGGTCACCACGAATCCATCCTCTCGAACATGGTAGGTCAGCCAAATCCGTGCGGAGATTGGAATCGTCGCCTGGAGAATTCAACCGTGGTGGATAGGGCCCCCGTTCGATAGGGTAAAAAGTTGCCTTAGAAAAAGTGGCTGAATTCTATGGTTCATGGATGTTTATGGTAGATATATGTAGATATAGCATTATATAGCATGATATAACATTATATAATATGATATAACATGATATAACGAACTAGTTAATGGATGTCAATAGGCTTTAGAGACCAACTAACTGGGGAGGGGGTTTGCCATGGGGCTACATGACCATAATTTGATGGAATTGATGAACAATAATTGAGTTGGCAAAAAAAAAGTGACGTTGTTGCTGAAAACGATTTTTCAATATTGAAATCAGGCATTTTTCTGCATTCCTAAGTTCAACGGAAGAAATCTGTGATTTCCAGCTGTCTCGTTATGTTGACACACTCGTCAGATTTTGCAACAGTTTTTTTGGATTTGTTTGGTGATTACGGTATTGCTCACCAGATAATGTATCAGCAAGAATGTGCAGTCATTGCCTATGGTTGCCTGGTCTCAAATTCCGACCCCTACACATAATATACCCATGGTGTATATAGATTAACACAACAGCCGTAATTTTGGTGGTTCATATCATATACGACCTATGATTTCATAGGGTATGATTTTGGTGATTACAGTTTTTTGGATCCACATTTCGTTCTTGACTGTGGAAAAGAAACTGTTTGATACTGTTTTGTCAATAATGCTAAAATTGACCTTCAAATACCACTTACAACTCTATCGATCTATCTAGTGATATCAACCAATTTTGGGACATGGAAAGGTTTCCACCCCCGCCGCGCCTTCAATTTTCCCAGGGATAGTGAGGCCGCTGCGGGGGGCAGGGATTGTGGAACTGAGAATGACACATATCGAAGTACAAAGGAGGAATATAATCATATCTCTTAGAAGTACAAGACATATCATTTATTCATATCATATTGATATCATAACGTGTACAATTGGAATGCACAACCGAAGAAGTACCAAGATTTCGTCACATGTTTTGAGGTTTATCCTGCGTAAATATGACCCCCCTTGGGGCCTTCTTTCAAGGTGGGAAACGAAACAGGATTTACCCTCTGGTTATTTAACATAGCCATGGAAAATGGCCTATTTATAGATGATTTTCCTATTAAAATCTCCATTTATAAGGGATTTCCATGGCTATGTTAAACAACCAGATGGTAATGTTAGCAAAGCAATAGTAAACCATTCCCAGTTGTACCGAAAAATGGGTTGTATAAACCATAATTTATATGGGTGGTAATAATATATAGCAATTATTCCTTTACTAACATTACATGTAACATTAGCAACATGAAATATTTAGCTTGTTGTTTCCTCAACTTTGTTGGAACCATAAACAAATCATATTCCATCAGATTTCATCAGATTCCATAAGATCATATTCTCAAGTTTCTTGGTTCCATCATCTCAATACATCAAAAACATCCTTAAGTTTTTTCTTTCAGGCTGGTTGCCAACTTTCATTTGGGGGTTTCCATAAATGCGGGTACCACTAAATCATCCATTTTTATAGGACTTTCCCTATAAACCATCCATTTTGGGGCACCCCCATTTATGGAAACCCCCTATATCCTCACATCAGATCAAGTCATCATATCACATATAGTCATCATATCAACATCAACATCAACTATCATATAATGTCAACCCTGGATTAATAAACCATGGTTTATTAATTGGGGGGGTACTCCTCCAAAAGTCATTATTTGATACTTTTTTATGGTACCCTCCCAATTAAACAGCCTAGGGTAGTCATACAATCATCACTGGTTGGTGGTTTGGAACATTTTTTTTCCATAGTATATGGAAGAATCCTTCCCATTGACTAATATTTTTCAGAGGGGTTGAAACCACCAACCAGTATAGTCATAGCTTCGTTTTTTGCTGAACCCCCAAGGCTTGTTGCATCCCAGAGCGGAAAGCCGCAGGCGCCTGTGGTTGTGGTCGCAAAGCCTCGATCCTGGCAGGTGTGGATTTTCTTGCTCCGGAGGATCTATGAATCGGATGGTTTATGATATAAATGGTGGCCCATATATTGATATATTAAATACAACCCCCATATATATATATACACAGTACCAATCTATCTATCTATATACAGTATATATATATGTATCATGTTTATATGCTTACAATATGGGGAACCACCCCAGAATGAATTTATGAGTTTAGATTGCAATTTGCAGAGATCTTGGGATTTTGGACCACTTTGGGATCAAGGAGCTATGGGTCAAAATTCCAAAAAAATGGAACTTGAACATGGATTGTTGTCTACAAAAAAATATTAGAACATTAGAAAATGCCAAACTTGTGGGTCCGGTCCATTGTTACCCAAGTCTGACCCATAGCCTTACGAACACCATGGACTGGAAAAGCTTCTGGGGAAATTGTCGTAACAACCCTCCTACCAAGTGGGTGGCCATGCAAATTAGGCCCCGAACCACAAGATGTTTACCATGTTGCTTCTTGAGACATCCAATATTTGGAGGAGATTCAGGAGCCAGTCATCAATTGAAAGCCAGAGGATTTCCACAGCCCTGCATCAGGCAGAAATGAAGAGTTGGGCGCAGAGGGTCTCCCCCTCAGGGTGTAGATCGCGCAATCGGTGGGTCGCGAGGAGATACCCATGTTTGAAGCAATATGGGTTTGTCTGAAAATAGTGTACCCCTACACCCAATGGTTTTGCTGATCATTATCCCTACTAAATGGCTATTTCATTGGGGGTATACCCCATTTTCAGACATACCCAATATTTCCGCATCAGTGCCTGCCACAATAGAGGAAAGCCACCAAAAATGCCGCATATTTTCTCCACTCTTTCGATTCGCAGATGATCTAAAGATCACCCTGGGTGTCGTCCGGCTGACATTTTCGAACGCAAATTTTAGGTACTTGTATGACTTGTATGTTTCAAAATGTTGGACCCTAAGACTTAAGATCAGATGGTACTTAGTAAATGCATACCCAAATACCATTTTATAGGGGTAAATTAATAGGATAATGGTAATTTAATAGTTTTATCATTATACCTTCACCACTAAGATGACTGGTTGAAGAATTTTTTCCCCCCATTTTGAGACAAACCTTCTCACGTTTCCCCTACTTACGGAGTCCCAGCAGTTTGTTAGAATCTGGTCATTTGACTACTAAACCCCAACATCAAACGATCCAATTGGTATACATTTCTTGGAATCCAATTTATCATACAATATATATATATATGTTGTATATATAAATTATATATATAATATATATATATATAATTATATATTATATATATATAGTATATATATAGATATCAATGCCAATGTATAGATTCTTCTTTTTGAATCACTGGCAGCTCCAAAGGTCACCGTGGCCTTTGCCGCCGGAGGGTTGGCCGGCACATTGGGCCTGGTCCGGCGAGCTCAGCGTGCGGATTGGGGGTATATTGATGGGATCCATGGCACACCATATATAGCACACATGGATCCGTCATGGGTGTATAATATAACATATAATGTAACATATTAATGATATAATAATATATATCTATATCTATATATCAATATATATCTATATATCAATATATATATATATATAATATATATAATTATATAATGTAGAATTCAGGATCCCTTGAAGATCTTTGGCCCTTGGCAGAGCCGAGGCTGTGACAATGCTGCCCTGGTTTCCAAGTCCAAAGTCGCGACGAAGGACCTTCAGAATCTCAGAATCTCAGGGATTTCTAGAGGTCAGTTTAAAGATAGGGATATTGGCTATGTTGGTGATCTTGGTTATATATGGTTTATGTACTGTTTATGTTGTGTATTGAAGTTATTGGTTTATGTACTGTTTAATAAACATTATGTTGTGTATTGAACTTATTGAACATTTAGTGTCTCCAAAGATGGGAGTGTACTTGAAACATCCTCCCAAACAATAGAAATCATCTTGAGTTGTTTGCAGATTATCAAATTAAACATGTTTCACGGAAATTCAATGGCCACGCTTTCCCGGATATCCATTCGAAGGTACCTGTCTTGGAAGCAGCTCCGCATGGTCAATGGGTGGAAACGACCGTGGGAGTCATTGAAGTATTTTCAAGTCATGTGCCATGAAGTGGGTGGTTCACTTGTCAAGACGTTTCAAAAGGTATGTAAAGTTTTGTCAGTGACTCCCTCTTCCACAACTTGTCGCAAAGAATCGCAATCCCCGCAGGGTGCTGAAAGTTTGTTTGTCTCTGAACTTGTTCGCATACACAGGAGCAAGGTCTCACAAGCATAATCAAGAGATATTGATTATTGATTTTCATCACCGAAAGAACAAATACACAAATAAAATACAACAAAAAATGCATAATTAATAATACAATTGAGAAATTTATCTCAATTCTCAATGTATCTGACTAACCTACAAGGACGACGTCACCACGATGTCACCAAGGACTATGGGGAGATTGCCAAATTATGATGCTTTAACCATATATATATACATATATATATATATATATTTTTTTTTTCAAACATAAATAAAACAATATTATATAATTTAATATATTATACAATATAATAGGATATATAGAATAATATACTATAATGGAACACAATACCCTCTAATTTAACATAATAAACCAACCGTATAATGTAATATGATATAATATAAAATAATTTTATGATATTTTACTATATAATATTATGATATTATATTATATTATATAATACGATAAAATATAATACAATATATTTGCATATATTTGTTCTTGTAATTGAGGTTCGATAGCCCCACTGAGATTTGGAATTTGCGGGTGCGGACCGACAATATTCACTGAAATTTGGAATCGACAAGGTCCGATTATATTAATTAATTTCTGGAAATTATTTTTATTTATTATTATTTTTTTTATTTATATTATTAAATTCCGATTATTCCTATTATTTCATTATATTTCATTATTTATAATTAATTATTGCTATTATTCCTATTACCCCCATTATTCTTATTAATTTTATTTTTATTTTTCTTCCTATTTTTATTTATTTTTATTTTTATATTTAATTGGTAATTAAAATTTTTAAATTATATTAAAATTAATTTATTTTATAATAATTTAAATATATATTAAATATTATTGGAAATTGATAATTAATAATAAATTAAATATGTGGAGGGTAGGCTAGACCGCGAGGCCCCGGAGGTAGTATGAAATACTAATTTGTATATTTAAATATAATTATTGTATATTTAAATAAATTAAATTTCGTGCTTTTAAATGGTCGGGCGGGCTAAGGAAAACCTTCCCGATTATTTTATATATTTAAATATATTAATATAATTGGAATTATTTTTTAATATTAATTATTAAAATATTATAAAAAAATATTTTAAATTAAATTAATTATAATATAAATTAATAATATTTATAAATTAATTTATATTAATTTTGAATTTTGAAAAATAATTATTTAATTATATTAATTAAAAATTATATTAATATTTATATTTAATTTAAAAAATATTTTTTAAAATATTATAATATTAATTATTCTTATTTGGTGATACAAATTATTTTCTTGGGAGTTTAATACCCAAAAATAATTTTGAAATTACCGATTTGATCCGATTTGTATATGCTAAACCCTGCGTTCTTTCGAACCTAGGAAAACAATTTTGGTTTAAAATATGTCGAAAATATTTTAAAATTATTTTGGAAACGTCCGGCTATAGGAAAATAATATTTATGGGGGGGGAATTTACTGGAACATATATGTACATTAAACCCCAGGAAAAAATACCCTATAATTATTTGATGGGATATGGTTTTTTACATGACTCTAAACGGTTAGGAACCAGGATTTAAATCTGTGGAAATGGTGTTATAATGATTAT